CTCCATTATGGCAATTAATGGCGAGACAACAATAACGACTGGGGTCTCGTGAAGTTTAACGCCAAAAGCGGCTCTTTTTTCTAAATAAACTTGCATTCTAAACTAATTAAAACAATATCTAAGGCTGCATTAAAAGGTAGCTTCGAGTCTGCTGCCATGTTGAATCCATAGATAAACAAACTGCTTCGGTCACGTGTGTCGCATAGATGTCGTCATCGCCTTGCTGCTCCCTCCCCGTTCTGTGATTGGTTCCCTAAATGAAGCGAAAATCTGCTCATGGGTATCCAAGCTGCCTTTCAGCGTGAATAAAATCGCGCTACGGTAAGACAGTATGGGGAAGATCAAAATATAAAAATAAAGTAAAAGTAGATCTATTACATGCACATTTTTAAAAAATGCAATCTTTCCTTACATTGCACAAGCTTTTTGTTGTAATGTATTCATCAACATTCAGGCAGTTCAAACCTGTAGTGTGCTTGCATATACATTGACAAAACGGGATTTGCCAATAATGCTGATTTCATGCGTGTGTGTGAATGCACATATGCTTGTGTTTATAAGAGTGTCGGTATGAATTAGGGCGTTGAACGCTCCAGGCTCAAGGTATTTTGCAAGTGTGTGTTGGCAGAGCTGTATGCTGAGTTTCCAAACGCCACGCTCACTCTATAATTACCAACATGCCCATCACAACATGTCCTGACAAAAACCCCTTTCCTTCTCTGGATCCCTCTTTGTTTAATTCTCTCGTCTTTTCTGTATACAGTTTCACCTCAACACACGCAGACATATTGTAACGCAAGTATTTACATTTCTGTTGCATACTGCACATCACTGGCATTATTATCCGAAAAAAATAAATCTTAAAGTGAACAGGGGTGATCCAGAAAGGACGATGAAGGACGGGAGATTCTTTCCTCTAGCGGTTTAGGTGTAAAACTGCAACATACTCAAAGAATTCCGACATTTCCCGCGTAATCCGTCCCGACAGCTCAAAATCATAATCATTATTATTAGCGTATATCGTTGTGAGTCAGGGTAAGGTACGGAGGCAGTTTTAAACACCTCTTTACTTTCTTGCAAACAGTGTTAAGATTCCAAAAATCAGGGTAGGCTACTATATAATAACTGACAACGAAACTAGCCTTCTTCTGTAGAGTTACTTCAGGTAAATGCCTCATTTCAGGAGGATCGAGTAAAACAGATTCTATGCAAGATTATAATTGTTATATCACAGTATTATATATAGGGTAGGCCTACCACATATTAGCAATACACAGAATGCTCATTTTGGTTGATCAGTGTATAATAAAAATATTTGGCTGTGCTTTAGAGGAGAAATTACAAATATATTTGTAGGATTTCAATGTTATTGGCTAAATATATTAAGTTGAAGAGAGACTGTCTTTTAAAAAACACCTATGAATTGAGGTGACAAACAAAACACAGAATTATATATATATATATATATATATATATATAGGCTACATACAATTTATTTAACTGCAATAAATGTTTTTAACTAGAAAAGGCAAGATAAAACTTTAAATATTGTCTTGGCAATACCTTGTTTGTTGTTCTTAAAAGTAGTTTAGGTTTTTATAGACCTTACAATAGACAGACAGACAGACTGAATTGAAAGTATGTTTCATTAAACTAAATAAATAAAATATATAAATAAATAGATTCTTTAAAAATAAAATAAAAAATGCAATTTCTGTCATTCTAATTCAAATTCCCGTCTGGCATTTCAATTCTAACTTTTATTGATGTAAGAGCGCCATCTTGGGGTTGATATGAGCGCAACCGCAAGTTCCTTGCAAAGACATAATAAAAAAAAAAAAAGTCAAATTAAAATAGTGTTTTAATAATGACTGCATTTATATAGCAGAGTAAAACCCTTCATTAAATTCAGTTTTATTATTGAAATACCTGTGCAAAACAGCCAGAAAATATACATTTAAAATGATCCAGAACAGCAATAGCAATAAAAAGCAAGAGTAGATGAGAGACAGAAAGAAGACAAAGCAGACATGCTATTATGATGTTACTGTAAAGGCCATTGAGAAATAAAAGTTGTCAAATTAAGTACATTAGGCCTAAGCTAAATGTGGCTATTATGATAATTCTTGATGTCTATAATTAATATTGTTGTTAATTTTACTCATAATAGTTTTAATTATAATTATATATTTGTATATAATTAGAATACATACAAATATGGATCACTGTGATTCATATGATTAGCATCAATTAATTTTTTAAGACAAACAGCAAAATAAATGGTAACACTTTACAATAAGATCTCATTGGTTAACGTCTGTTAATAAAAACATTGACCAACAATGACACATCATTTGTTTACCATACTTATTAATCCTTGCTTACATTATGACTAAAACAAATAAGATTTAAGAATATAATTCAATAGCCAAAATAAATAAATAAATACAATAATGGGATAGTTCACGCAAAAATGCGAATTCTGCCATTTCTTTCTTTGGCTGAATACATATGAAGATATGTTGAAGAGCTTCGGTAGCCAGAGAGTTGATGGACCACATTGACTTCCGTTGTATGTACTGTCTGGCTACAAACATACTTTAAAATATCTTCTTTTGTTTTCAGACACAGAAAGAAACTCATTGAAACAACATGAGGGTGAGTAAAGGACTATCCCTTTAAGCCCTGAAATAAAGGTGAGACATGTAACATGATTCAGCTGTGTTTGTGTGCACACCTCATGTTTAGTGAATGACCATCATAAATCACACATGATTTTAGTCATGAGATATAATACAACAATAGTGAGTGAGGCCTTGGAAATACAAACATCTATAGAAAAAGTTCATCAAATGATTGGGCATTTCTGATCATACATTAGGTTCCTGTTGATGTGAACCCAAGCCTTGAAATGTAACTTCTTTTTTTTTTTTTTTTCAGGAAAAGCAATTTAATATATTTTTTTTCAATAAAATTGTTTGTATTATTTAGAATTTTTAAGAGAATTTATGATAATATGCAATATTTATACAGTTTTTATTATCTAATTTTCCCCATTAAAAATAATAATTCCATTATTTTTCAATTAAAGCTATATTACATATTAAAATAGAAAAAAGGAATTTAAAATCCAATTTTTGTAGATAAATTAGTGCCATCTGGTGGGAGTAAAAAAAAAAGAGAGAGAGAAAAACGTATGCAATGCCATGAAGTAACCACTAGATGCCTGTATATATCATAAAGAGGCTTATAAATGTTTTGACTCAGGCCCGCTGACAGGGAGGGGGGAAAAACGGGTCTGGAATTATAGAATAATTGTAATTTTTTTTTTTAAGTAAAGGCATATTTGTGGAAAAATATCTAATATTTGAGTTACATAAAAGCTTTTTATTTGTTTTCTTCCTAATTGTCCTTGAAATAGTGGTCGACCCCCCCAACCCCCAAAACAAAAATGTTTTTTTCTTTGTTATTGCTCAAATGTGAACAACAGTATACAAAGTATACAACACATACAACTTAATATTACCCTTGCCAGGGGGATACAGTAGGCATCACATTCAAGCAAATTGTAAGTACTGTAATACAAATATTTCTAGTTTTCATAGCCTTTTTGTTCAATGAACCTCTAATTAATTAATTTTATATACTATAACATATCACAATAAAAATGTTTAAAGAAATGCGAAATGCGTCACTGTCGGCATCGGTGAACAGATAATGGGTTCTATTTTTGCTGCACTGTTCATGCTTAATTAAAAGAAAGCACACTGTTGATGGACAAAAAATAAATATGATTTCACACAAAAAGTGCCCAAAATGCACAGATTTTGCATATCTAGTGTGTTTTAATAAGAAAATATCATTACTCCAGTCACATGATCCTTCAGAAAACATTTTGTTGATTTGCCGCTTAAAACACATTTCTTATTATTATCAGTTGAAAACAGTTGCGCTGCTAATTGTTTTTTTTTTTTGTTGTTGTTGTTGTTGTTGTTTTTGTGGAAACCATGAAAATATCCTCCTGGGACCCAGAAATAGACTTTTGTCCTCTGCAGTGGACATATTTGGTGGATTTCTGTGACAGCACACACGGCTTTCTAGAGGTTTCACCATCACAACGACTTCTCCATGACCTTTGACACTAATTTAGTGATCAAATTTAGCACTCTTATGAAAATACGATACTATTTAGTATTAAATCAAAATATGACTTTCTGTTACAAAACAAAGCATTGATTTCACACGTCCACTGTAGTGACACCAAGACACCTGGGAGAATTAAATTATACATCAATATTCCTATAAAAATATTGCCATTTATTAATCCCATTATTGCACTTATATTTTTCATTACATGTTGCCCCAAGAACATATTAATATGCAAATTAGATACAGTGTATACATTGCCAGTTTACCCACATATTGCATAAAGTGAAATGGTATATCAATTCATTCCATTATATTTTTAATAACATAATAGGGAATCATCTTTATACAGATTTTGGTTAAAAAAAAATCCTGTAAAAACCTAAAAAAAAAAAAAAAAAGTATTAGTGAATGAAAAAAAATCCCATTGTTTTTTCATGTATTTTTATTTTTTTTAAACAACTGAGTCCTGGTGTCCACTACATGGACATAGCATAGCATATAAATAAAATATATTTTGTCAAAAATAAAAAATAAAAAAAATATTTTTTAAGGAGGATATGATAGTATAAAATTCTTCAAAGTCACTTTAGATCAATTTACTGCAGCCTTTCTGAATTAAAAAGAATAAATTTATTTTAAATCAACAACAACCTTACCTTAATTTTTTGACGCGTAGCCTATATATATATATGCACATTTCTTCAGTAACAGTGTTATAGACATGCTTTTCGTATCAGTATCAATACCCCGATCGATGTTTAGTTTTCCTAACATTATTTCATCAAATTATGTGTATATTTAGGCACATGACCTACATCCATTCCAAGCCAGTGCTCGATGCAGGCTAAAAACGTGAGACCCACATGCCTTTCCGAGCTGAGTCCAGGGTGTTTGATGGGATGTTCATTCGGGCAAACCCTCGATGGCTCGGAGCCTATCAGCAGCGCGTGCGTGGAGAGGAGGAACTCGAGCAATATTAAAGCTGTCAGGGAACAAACAGCAGTCACGGTGCGCTCCTCCTCTTCTGCATGTGCGTCCCCACGCCTCTCCTCCTCCTCTCGAACATTAGCATAAAATCTGTGTCAGTAGGACAGCGATCACATGGAGCGCGCGCATGAGGCATTCCAATGTCAACCGAGTGCACGCGCATTCAGTCAGTCAGATACAACACACACAGAGGGGGAGAATAGCAGCTATTACAGGGAAGGAAGAACAGAGGGCGTGTGAAACGGACTCAGTCCTTGGCACACAATACCACAAACAATTTAAAGGGCACTGAAAGGAGGGGGGACTAGAGGGGGGAAGCTCAGTCACATTTCTAAAGCACCTGAAAACGTGTTTGGTGTGATGATTGTGCTCGTCTCAAACTAGTTGCACATCTCTGCCTTGATGCCAGGTCACTAGCTCGGACTCTTACTGTACTGTACACAGTGTTCCAGCTCAGCTCTCTAACACTGAGGACGGCGCAGCGCCCTGCTAACCCGAAGGACATCTGACTGACTGAGAATCAGCTTCTTCTTTTTTTTCCATTTTACATTTCCATAAAAGACTTATTGAAGTTCTCTTCTCACCTGTCTGGACGGAATTTGAAACACGCTGAGTATTATAATAGATTCCCACCTTTCCTTCATCAACATCAACATCAATATGGACGGCAGTCCAGGTGAGTTAAAACAATATTGGCTATAAGCTATTCTAGATTATTTGTTTATTTATTTTTTACATTTTTAAATCACTCGATTAGAGTTATATGCACTGTTTTATCTAAGCCAATGTTGATATAACTTGAACTTTGTAAAATAGAGACTCAGCTAAAATGTATAACGTTACACGCTCACGTTTGATTTTGCCAAGAAAGGACTGTAATTGTTTTTCATCTTTTTCATTTTAAAATGACATGATTTATGTTATTTTTCCATCTGCACGTTGCATTTCTGATGTGAAATACATTGTGGCTACTGTACCGCGTGCCTGCGTTAACGATGTTTTGACAAATGTTTCCGGTCTCGCGTGGCGCGTAAACAAACTCACGTGCAACTGCTCGCGCGCTCTTCCAAAAGACATCATCATCATCCTCATACATCAGTCTTGAGTTGTTTTTCAGCGTGACCTCAGCAACCAACGACTTGTTGCTATAACAAAGTTACAATCTTCAAGGCTATCTGCCGCGATTCAGTAGTTTTGTTTTACATGTAGCGTGATCTCCAATAGAGAGGTGTCATCCGAAACTGGGTTATCTACTGTCAAGGTGTTTCCCTCTCGAACAGGGAACGTGTTCACACTGTGAATCATTACCCGAGTCACGCTCGTGCGCCAGTGACTGATCATTCTCTATAAGCGCTCCTCCTTTACATTCACCCAAACACGTGCTGATCGTGCATGCCAGGAACATGCGAGGAAACCCGTCATTTACAGACAGTAAACACTGCATCAGGCAATACACCCGAGGTTTGTTTACTGGCACGACATGACCTTTCTCGTAAGCCAATGATGTTTTTAGATGGCTAACTAGTCATTTATTACAACCTAAAAATTGGTGGGTTGTTTTAACCCAACTTCGGGTCAAATATGGACAACCCCAGCCATTGGATTACATTTTTTTAATTACATTTTTTTAAGCCAATGTTTGGGTTTGTCCATATTTGACCCAAAATTGGGTTAAAACAACCCACAAATTTTTAGAGTGTAGCTATATAGTCATAATAAAGTCATCTTAGATAGATATTTATATTTAGTCAGAACGGTTACACTTTACAATAAGGTTCATTAGTTAATAACTAGTTTACATGAACTAAGAATGATACGTTTGCAGAACTGATTAATCTTAGTTAATATTATTTTCAACATACTAATGCATTATTCAAAATCAAAGGTTGTTTTTGCACTGTGAACTAAGATGAACAAACAATGAACGGCCATATTTTGATTATTTTTATTAGCAAAGATTAACTAATATAGTAAGAAATTGCTCATTATTAATATATTAACTAATGTTAACAAATGAACCTTATTGTAAAATGTTAGCATCAGAACAAATGCATCGTGATTGTGATGCTATAGTTTTTGTCAGCAAGTAAACAAAACTGTCCATTTATTGTACATAAATGTATTATTATTGTTGATACAGACTACAATTATCAGTGTGCTACTTTAGGATTGGTTGGAAATCACATTTATAATTGGCACATAAACACATATTGTCAATGTCATATCCAGTATGTTATTTTTCTGATTCGGGTGCTTGTGATTTCCTTGAAAGCGCTCTGTTCGCCAGCTGCACGTTTTGCATGTCATCAGACAGACTTTCACTTTCACCGTCACGAGGATCAACTCGGAACTCCACGTGCCACGCGTGATTTGATTTCCCAGGCGCGCACACACACATACACACACCCCCTCCTTGCCTGTGTTTTTGTTCCGGCAGCCGATCTCATCCGGCCTCTGAGGGGAGGGAGGCTGGTCACTGGGTCAAAGTCAAACAGCCACAGCTTTCAGCTCAGTCCGTTCTCCTCTGCCTGCGTGATCTCTGTTAGACAACACAGGCTTAGAACAAGCTCAGCCTTATGTGACAGAAGATGCTTGGTGCATTGTAGATTGACTCGTCTTAAAAACAGAAAGCTCATATATATTTTTATAACTCGCTTGTGCTTTGCCCCAGTACAACATCCGGCAGTGTTATGTCAAAAATAAAATATATTACAAAGTGAATTAATCATTTGTAGCTCAATGAGTCTTCATTTACATAGATTGTGCTCCAAATATGTGTTTCTTTCCAACAGATACAGTAATATTGACCTAGTTTTCAGCAGCAGGGCATCCAGTTCTCTGAACAAACCTTCACACACCTTTAAAGCCTCCCAAATGACAGTCTCAACTTAGAGCTCACCTGCCATTTACTTAATGTTCATTTGGCTGGTTTAAAATATATAGTTAAAGGGGCGGTTCAGAATTTTAGACATCGGGCCTCATTTCCAAGTTAGCCTTAGTGTTATTTACCAGTGGAGACAGTTTTCAGAAATTTTCATCCAGTCGTTCCAGTTGCATAGTTTGCCGGTGCTAGCCTGCCATTAAAAACGGTTTTACCCACATTTTACCACTACCAAGCTGACCAATCACAGATCTTGAGGTCCGTGTCGTTGCGACGCGTAGTTCCATTTTTGAGGAGGTGCGCGTCAGGCTACAGCGAAGGGTACGCGGTATGGTACGCGTCTGTGCGTATGCTACGCCGTACCTACTTAACCGGAGCAAAGTAAAACCCCGCCGCTGCTGAGAAAATAGTTCCTGTAAATGTATTTCGATCATTGAGATGCAAGAGTAGTTTTATTTTTTACATTATTCTCTCAACAGACATTTACATCGATAGTCTGGCGTTATAATTTATTTGCTTTTGGTGTACTGTGGAGTGGGTAAAACTGTTTTTAATGGCAGGCTAGCAGTTACCGTTGACTCGCGCTAGCCTAGCACTGGCGAACTATGCAACTGGAACGACTGGATGAAAATTTCTGAAAACTGTCTCCACTGATAAATAACACTAAGGCTCACTTGGAAATGAGTCCCGATGTCCAAAATCCTGAACCGCCCCTTTAAGTCCTTTAGCGTTTAACATTTTTCTGTTGATCATTCAACACTGCTTTTAGAAAACATTAACATGAAGAATAAATAAATAATGCATAAGAAACTACACATTCAGATACACAAAGTATGATCCTCTTTTATTTGACAAGTAAGACATCACAGTATCACACTCCAGGTGATACAAAATGTCAGTAGTTATTATTATTGTACATTACAACAAGGTATGCAATACAGCAGTTTAATATTTTAAGTTGAAATGACAAAGGTGATTGTATCTAATTTAAGGCAGCATTTTGTTAAAGTGTACTTTACAATACTATATATGAAGTGTACATTTATAGCCTACTTATGTTATTGAAATCTAAAGTCATTAAGTGATTAAACATAAAATCTAGCTTGCATACAGTATATGCTATTAAACAAACACAGCACTCCTGTCAGCATTCAGAATGTCATAAAGAGGGATGTTGAACAGCAGGTTTCACAAACTCAACCCACTCTTTTCCTCATTCTTCTAATCATTCTCATTCACCCTTGCACATGTGAGATACAATACACAGGAAAGGTGTTTTGGTGTATGGTGAAATTATGTGTCATACAAAATGTCACTATGGTCGTGGAAAAAACGTTTAACTCGGATGTAATGAAATTGAGAAGGGCAGTTAATTTAGAATAATATCTATATTTCATGCACGTCATATAAACAAGTGAGACGAGGTGAAATGAGTTGCTTATAAAAAAAGAACAAGAAGGCGAAAACAAAAACAAGCTCGTATGTCGAGCAAACGTGACCGTGCACGTTCATGCATGCACTCCAGTTTCCGGTGACTCAAGTATTACAAACACGGGCGCATAAACCTGGCCCTGGTTACTGTTTTTAAGCCCTCTTCAAACGTGAGCAGCAGGCTGGCAGTGTGCTTCTCTCTCTCTCTCGTACTGCGGCTGTTTTAGACACGGGACTGCGCAAAGAGGCTTGTGTTTTCGGGGCGTTCACTGTGTCAGGAGTGCATGTGAGTCGACGGTCAGGTGGCTGGCAGCTCTGGAGCGCGCAGCGCGTGAGGCGGGGGCGTGAGAGTTCTTCCAGTTTATGATTCACAAACAAATTGTTCTTTTGAGTCGATTCTTTTGAATGACTCGGTTTAACAGACTCGGGAAGGTTAGAAGAGAGGGCTTTGCAACGATGGAGACAACTATTTTTTGGCGCAAGAAAAACACACTTAGGGAAATAATCTTGGCAACATTAAACTGGAAGATGTAAATTGCATTTGAAAAAAATAAATAAAATATGAATCGCAGTTGTAACAAACAGCTGTAACTAACACTGAACTCGAGAAAATCGTCATGCGATTCTTGGAACGCTGTGGAGAGACGGATCGAATCACTGAAGTGAACTGACTCTCTGAAATAAATCCGATTCCCCAACGTTACACACACTTATACACGTGAGTCAGTCTGGCTCGCTTCTCACATGTTTGAGCCCTCTCCTGGCGCGGTTTGAAACATGTGATTCACGATGACGGATGAGCTAGTCAGACTGAAAGTAGTGAAGGGTTCAAACATGTGAGACATTAACAAGTTTACATAGAAGTCAGTGGCTTGGCAAGATTTTTCTACTGTTCTAGACAAAAAGAAAAAAAAAAAACATAGACCACATCCACACCCACTTTTACAATTTACAGTTTACAATACCATTCAGTTAATTGCTGACATTTAACAGATTCGGAGAGTAACAATATGGCTGGGAACTAAATTGCATGTTTGTTTTTGTTAAAGATTTGCATAAAAGCCTCAGCTAAATTACAGATTTGCCAAATCCTGCTGATTGGATTTAAACATCCAAAATGTGCCAAACTGACGTGAATATACATGAAATTAATCACATTTAATAAACTGTGTAGAGCGCAATGAATATGTAACCTAAAATGAAAGTCTTCATTCTGCTCACTTAGAGATTTATATCATGACAACACTCGGATGTTTGGTATGTTAATGGACATGACAATGCTAATGTATATGGTCTTGATAGACTGTTATTTGTGCTTCTGTAGAGCAAGTACGGAGAAGTGCTACTGTACATACATTCACAGACATGTTCCCATGATATACCACACAAGAAATTACACATAGCACATCTAGGCAGGTGGAGCCTGGGGAAGGTGGAGGGCTGCAGGACTTTACAGCAAACACTAAACCAGACTATTTAAATGTTAAGCACGCAAGCTCATTGGCTGCTGATGAACCAGAGACCAATCAGCTTGTAGAGCCATGTCGTGAACAATTTGAGGGCTAGTGTATTGTATTCCATTAAAGATCTGCTCTCTCTCATGACTGAACTACATATTTATAATAACAAGACAAACTTATCCTCATGAAATCTATATTTTTTCCTCTTTCTCTCTTCTCCTTCACACACACACAGGTGAAGGAGTGATTCACTATGCAGGCTCAACTGGAAGTGCCAGCCCCAGCCCAGGAAGCCCATCCAGTGGGTACCAGACCCAGTCTCCATCCTCCCAGCCCTCATCGCCCGAGGAGGTCTCCTTCACTGATCTTGGTGCCCCTAAAAAATACTCAGCTGGAAGCAGTGGCAATTCTGCAAGGGGCAACAAACTGGTTTTCCAATTTCCAGAAGTAAGCAGTGCTTCCTCTGTCAACACCGTTACACAGACCGTAACGTCATCAGGGCAAAACTCCTACTCTCACCCAATGGTTGGCAGGCGACCCATTGGATTCACGGGTACCTTTACTAGTGAGTATTATTGGTGATGATGTTGTCTCAAATTCTGTGACATTGACCACTGCTAACTCATTTTAAATGTGTGTTGATAGAAACCGGAGGTATGGTGTTGCTTTGCAAAGTATGTGGAGATATTGCGTCAGGATTTCACTATGGTGTCCATGCATGTGAAGGATGCAAGGTAAGGACACTTCTCACTCATAAAATAATCTCAAAATGCAAAACTGATGTGTTTAGTAATGGTCTCTATTCAGTTCATGTGCCTGTTGCTTTACTCACACACACTCAATGTGATCTTGTGTTCTCCTCAGGGTTTCTTCCGCCGCAGTATCCAGCAGAACATCAATTATAAGATGTGTGTGAAGAATGAAAACTGTCTGATCATGAGGATGAATCGCAACCGCTGTCAGCACTGTCGCTTTAAGAAGTGCCTCTCTGTCGGCATGTCCAGAGATGGTAAGAGCTTTAAACATACAGTTATAATGACTATATTATTTAAAGTGTTTGCTAAAAAACAGTGTTAGGAATGTTGTTGGTTGAGTAAAGAACCACCTAGCAATGTCCCAGAACCCCTCAGTATAGACCCTAGTAATTGCACTTTTCTAAGCAATTTAACACTGATCTGGAGACCAGCATATAGACTGGTCCAGCATGAACCCACTTTACAACATCACGCAACACACTAGCAGTTGGTCCATTGGCAAATGCATACCAATTCCAATTGGTTTCAAGTAGACTCTGCGTGATCTGAAGTTTCGAGTGAGGGCAAAAAATGTCCCAAAGTAGGTTGAAATTTGTAAGGCAAATGTGATGCGTTGACCAACAGAAAGCTGCTTGGTTTGAAAGTGACCTCTGTGTGAGTGGTGTTTCTTGCATCACTACTATTGACAATGGACAATTGACGTTTTTGGGGCAAAATTTCTCTAATGTGATCGCACCTTTACAGCACATTCTCTCAATTCTCCTCAACCCAGCATCCACCATCTGTTCTGTAATGCTTGCACCTATGGCTGACAGTTTCCTTTCACCGCTGATTTATTAGTGCGGGCACGCCGAAATCCCACAAGTCATCGCTCACTGTAAAAACTGCTGCAAATCAGGTTAATTTGGGGAATTGGGGACACCGAGCTCCTAGTGCACCGCAGTTTAATGTGTTTCCAGGTCTTCGTTTGCTGTATTGCTGGATTAATTAAGATCTAAACGCTCGCTGGGATTTAATAAAGTGCTTTGTCGATGTAACCCAGAAGCTTATAGCATTTATTTCAGTTGAATGTAATGCATAAATATACTAAAATATCTTTTTTCGAATTTGTCCTCTAGCACACTTTGCCCATACAGGACACTGCTGTCTCTGGGGAGCTTTGTAAACTGGGCTGATAATAAATCATATTTTCTGGGGCTAGTGTACATATTTAGGTGACCTAAAAAGCGGGGAAAGTAAAGTGATGCCTTATGCACCATCATATTTCAACGTCACATGACCTACTTGATTTTGTTTTCCTCCCTTGTTGCAACTCACGCTGTAATTGCACAAGATTTCCAGTTCATTTGAAAGTTTATGAATATATAAAGAACCATTATGGATTTAACTTTGCCCTTAAATGCCCCCAAAAACGTAGATGTCGCTTGCTTTACAGTAGATGCTATATTCTTCCTCCATTATATTATGTCATTGAGCTTGCCACCGGAAACCTTGCCTTCTCCTTTAACACTGGTCTTCACGTGAGGGTGCTATATGACACCTCGAGACACGCGAAACCTTGTTATATTACAGGCCTAAAGATCTGGTTTTGCATTAGTGCGTGTGTTAGCAGTTGCTGAAGGCACTTCACATTGCTCAACACTTGGTGCTCCTTATCAGTCTAGTTCATCATCATATTATGTTCCTCTGCCCTACAACGTTGCAACACTTAACTATTCTAACGCCTTCTTCTCTCTGCCCTTATAACCTGTAACCTGCTAACCCATGACCCTGTGACTGTATCGTTTCCCCTGCTGTCACTCACTCCATAACTCATTCCCTCCCTGACACCAGTGCTTCAGGTGACTCACTGACCCACTTCCCAATGGGATAGAGACACACAGAGAGAGAGAGAGATGAACAGAAGGATGGGGGAGGGGTATTATACAGTTGTAGGATCTATGAATAGCTGCGAGGTGGAGTAGGGAGAGATCGGATGAGGAAGAGGAGAGGGAAGTGGAACAGAAGCTTTGTAGACCAGTTATGTGATATGAACGATTAGTGGTCACTGTGATGCAATCTTGTTTCATGTCTTTTATAAAATGGATCCTGAATGATGATTTGTCAGTACAGTTATACCTTAAACCGACCGAACACTCCCTGTATCTGGCTTCCACTCCGGCCCCGTCCACACTACTGCGTTTTCGTTTAAAAACAGAGGATTAAAACGATCTCTGCCCACATTAAAACGATTGAAAACACGGATCACGTGACCATTCACCAACACTGGGCATGCGCGTACCGGTGTAAACAGGAAACGGATTGACTATTCCTCAGATTTGGGGACAGGTCATGTGATGGGTGGTTGACGAATCATGGAAGGACACATCATGACTGATGACACCAAATCATAGAGCCGAGCGTGAGCCTCTGCGTCATCGTTTTTAAAGTCGTCTGCTTTGTCCCGTCTTCACTAAAACGCCCTCCGGAGATTCAAAACGGAGCTGCAGCGTTTCAAAACTTCTCCGTTTTAGGTCTTTATTTTTTCCGTTTTAGTCTGGACGGGAGGTGCAAACGTAGCAAAAGGTCTCCGTTTCTAAACGAAAACGCAGCAGTGTGGACGGAGCCTCCGTCTCGCAGACTGTCTACTTGACGCCATTTTCACCGATAACACAGCCCAAGTGCATCCCAACTATGCACATGCACAGAAAATAGCTTACTTCAATGTGCAAAATAAGGATAAATCAATAAAGCAATTCCCTTACTACGTTAGAGGCTGCAGTCTTTAGCCTCCTTGTTAGAGCCATGACCCCTCCTTGGTGCCGTGACCCAGATGAGAGTGAGGTCCTCCTTGTTAGAGCCCCCGACTCTCATGCCTTTAGACTCGGGTTCGAGGCCCACTCGGAGCAGGTCGAGTAGGACCCGGGTGGAGGGGTTACATATTCACAATACAGCGCAGCCTCTCGTACCTCACTGCATACGGTTGTACATTCAGTGAAACCTTTGCATTTGTATGATTGGAATATATATATTGACATTTAATCCCCTGTTTCTCCTAGCTGTGCGATTTGGACGCATTCCGAAGCGCGAGAAACAACGTCTACTGGACGAAATGCAGAGTTACATGAACAGCCTTAATGAATCGGCGTCCATGGACATCAACTGTTCGTCACCCACCGACACCCCTACCAGCCCTGGAGACGGCCAATCAGAAGAGGCCATCGGTGCGATCTCGCAAGCTTATCGAAACATCTTTGTGAATGGGGAGAAGGTGTTGGTGAAGATTGACGACGACAATAACAACAATTCTTCTTCCTTCCGTCATAATCCAACACAAGAGTCCGGCTACACCCAGTCTCATCCTCAGCCGAGCGTCTCCCCGCAAGAACATCCCGTACATTCCACAACGAACTGCCTCTCCCAATCCAGATGCCCGTTCGCCAGCCACGACAACAAACCAGCAATCCAGGTCATAGACAACAGTCACTATAACTTCCCACAGTCCTCGAGTCCCAGTCAGGGAACTACTCCTTCTCAAAGCTATCCATCAAAGCACAACAGTTATTCCACTCAGACGTCTTGTCCTTGGAGACTGAGTCCTGGTGCTAAAGTTCTGGTAGGTTTATATGAAGGCGTATGATTTGATGCACATTGCAAAACAGCAGAATTCATGTGATTAAATGAGTCTCGTTCTGTTTTTCTCTAGGCATGTCCTCTCAATGCATGTCCCGTCTCCCCAGCCAGTCACTCCAGTCAACAGGTCTGGGAGAGTTTCTCTCAGTGCTTCACTCCGGCTGTTAAAGAAGTGGTGGAGTTTGCCAAGAGCATCCCTGGGTTTCAGGCACTGAGTCAACATGATCAGGTCATGCTGCTGAAGGCAGGAACCTTTCAGGTGAGAAACGCCAACATCTGTCCCCTTTCTTTTGTGTAGAAACATATTGATTATGATTATGTTTTATTATTTAAAGCAGGGGTGCCCAATCCTTCTCCTGGCGATCGACTGTCCTGCACAGTTCATCTCAAACCCTAATCAAACACACCTGAAGTAGTCAATTAAGGTCTTTAGGATCACATTCAGGTGTGTTTGATTAGGGTTGGAGATGAACTGTGCAGGACAGTCGATCGCCAGGAGCAGGATTGGGCACCCCTGATTTAAAGTCAACTAAGAGTCTTAGTTCAGGTTCTTGCAGCTGTGATTCAGGTCATTTAAACCAAAATATTGTTGACTCAAGATCCCGATTTAAGGATTGATCTGGTTCAGATTGATATTGTGAATTGGTTCAATTGAGTAATTGAAAAGATTTGACTCAACTGAACAATTCGATCATGTATCCGTTCTTTAGCAGTTTCAATCACATGGTGTTACGGACTGTGCAAGACTCTAGACTAATATCTTTACAGATTTGTTTCAACACTCAATAACTAAGGTCTGAATGAAAGCGAAATGCGTCCATTTCAATGAATGAAGTCTTTGAGAGTGCACTTTACACGACCCAATGTTGAACAGTTTATTTAACATCATTTTTCTTCATTGCAGGTTCTAATGGTGAGGTTCTGCTCGTTGTTTGACGCCAAGGAACGGACTGTAACATTCCTAAATGGTCAGACCTACCCATTGGCGTCGCTGCGAGTGCTTGGCATGGGCAGTCTTCTGGACGCCATGTTTGAGTTCAGTGAGAAGCTGGGGAACATGGGTCTGGAGGCCGACGAGATGGGTCTCTTCATGGCTGTGGTTCTGGTTTCTGCAGGTACATGTCACAAGCAAGCAATGTTTCAAGTGTGTCGATCCAACTTTAAATTCATTTTTCACAAGGCTGTTCCGAACAGTATAGATACTTCATTTTGGGTATTCCAATTCCAAATCAGCATCACATGTGTCCTTTGTGGATAATGTGATACTAAAATCCAAAATGGTGGCTGTATTCAAAGAAAAAGCTAAATTAAGTTTTGATAAACTGAATTGTGGGTTAAAAACTTGGGATGGCGACAGAAAAGGTCAGAATTGGGAGATTAAAATATTCAATTATGTAATACATTTTTAAAATTCTGTGGCGGAAACAAACTTTCATGGAAAACAGTTCTATTAGCACACTAATTACGTCACCCATTTTTTTAATTGCATCATATTTTTGTGCTTAGACTGGTATAGAGAGCCTCCGCTTCCGGCTCATGGGACCTTATTACATATGATTTTTGTCAATTTAAAAGATAATTCTGAAAGTCAAGAAAGTCGCAGTTTGTCATGAAACAGAAGAGTAACATTTAGTTTTATGTGAATTATGTGACGGCGTAACATTACGATTATAACGTAAGACTATAGAAACAATGACAGACGTTAGCTTCAGTAAACTTAGCATCATTCATTGAGAGAAAATGTGCGCCTTTGGGGTTTGTAGTCTTTCACAGTCTTATACCTCAACATTTTTACATCTTCTTTACTTTAAAATGTATCTTTAAAAAAAAACAGCGCACAATTCAAACCAGATCAAAATATTTGTTGTCTCTCGCCATTGACTACCATACAATATTTTTCCGAAATAAGGTCCCATGGTGGTCGACCGGAAGGGGAGGGACTTAGGCTCTCTCTAGACTTCAATTAAGAGCTCTGTTTGTGTAGCGAAGTTGCATTAAATCCGTCAACTATCACTTCACACAGAACGTGTTTGCCCATTCCACTGCTCTACTTTTACATTGCTTTTCAAAGTAAACACACTAGACGGATGTCTTCAACCGTTGCATTTGCATCTCACGTCTTTTGCAGCACGACACGGCGTTCTAAAAACGTGGCGCTCAAGTTCAGCTCAAGTAAAAAGACAACTTTTTTAGTTCTGTGACCAGTGTTTTGAACAGCAAACGGTGTTCTGTTTGAACCGGCCCTTAGAAGGCGAGCAAGGCATTGCACTAGAGTTTGGAGTAGAGTAGTAATGATGAGTGTGTATTCCAGGTACTCATGATTGTGTACTCTGTGTCAGATCGCTCAGGTATCTCAGACATGGGTGCCGTCGAGCAGCTCCAGGAGGATTTGATCGGCGCTCTCCGAGCTCTCATCACTCGCAGGAGGCCAGAAGACAGCGCACTCTTCCCCAAACTCCTTCTGCGTCTGCCAGACCTCAGGACACTCAACAACCAGCACTCCGAGAAACTCCTCGCCTTCCACATCGACCCCTGAGGCGCACGCCAGACCCAAAACACAGATCCAGGGTGCTCTTCTGTACAAACAAGCCATGCATCGTTCAGGACGAACATCTGACTCGCACTTACACGGACACGCTTCACCACGTCAGACTTTTCCAATGCAACGCAAGGATTCTTTTAAAGAATGGTGCAGATGCTGGACATTTGGACTTTTCAGGAGAGTTTTCAAGAAATCCAAGAAGAGGGAATCGATTTTTCTTCCTAAAATGGACATTCGATGGATGGTTTTATATAACCAGCATTGAAAGATCGGTGTCAGTAGGTTTTGGGACATTATAAATATTCTTCTCACTCCAGATGCTATGCATTCAGTATCATATTCTTCAGCACATCGTACAACCTTTCAGATCCTAGCTCATAACTCAATCATTTCCTCTAACACATTCTTATATCTCTTTGTGGACCTTTATAAATATTGTTTACAGTCAAAACATTGAGTGTAAAAAACATGTATTATAATTGAAATGTATGATAGTTTCTCATAACTGTATAAGACTGTAGTATGAATTCACGTGTGGAAATATCATGATAATAGCAGGTTGTGTCATGAAGAAAGGACTGCTCATCTCATCTTGTATTTAAACGATTATGTCATTTACAACAGCTCTGCATGGATATGGTTTATTTTCTACCCTTTGCAGTTCAGAATTTTCTGAAAGTGTCTTTTGTATTGGCGGAGATGAGTTAGCAGCAAAGCGGACATTAGCATTTCTACACAAAGTCTATTCATTTGTTTCACGTGCATCTAAATGTATATTTCGTAAATGTATTATGTTTATCTTTTACTATAGAGATGGCAAGATTATGTGATATTAAAAAAATACATTTCAGTTTTTGCAAATCTGAGTATTTTGTATACATGCGCATATATTCATATAATATCCTGAGCACTGCACGTTGCTTTGCACTTGGAATGCTGATGGTGCACAATGGTATCCTAGCAACAGGCGATGGAACCAGCATGATGTATGTGATCCATGCCAAGATTTTCACCTTCATTTAAATAATGTCTCCAGGGTTCCAAATGGAATCTTTGCTTCATTTCATACATCACACACACTTCAATTACAGAATGTAGCACAGAATAATGAGTCTAGAATATTTAATGTTGGCCATAAAGAATGAAACATACATGTGAATAACAAAAATATTATAATATATATATATATATATATATATATATATATATATATATATATGTGTGTGTGTGTGTGTGTGTGTGTGTGTATACTGTATGTATATCAACTATTTAAAATATGTAGGTTATCAAATATAGTCTTTATCAAATGTATATCAATACTGTATGAACAACTGATTCCAGATATGAACATTTAACATAAGCATTTAGCAGGCTTGCAAATGAGGAGAGTATTAGATGCAGTTAAACTATAGGACAACATTACGTAAGTGCTGTGACCCTGCCCAGTTAACTCCAATGCAGTATGTCTTTATATATATATATAAAAAAGCCTCTAAATGCCATTTGAAATTTTCTTCTTTAATGATGATTTATATCAAACTTGTATATTTAAGTTCAGTAATTTCACTTAAATGGCAATGATAATTACCTATTAATTGTTATTTAAGTGAAATTACTGAACTTAAATATACAAGTTTGATATAAATCATCATTAAAGAAGAAAATTTCAAATGGCATTTAGAGGCTTTTGCATCTGAACTCTTCATATATAGATATAGAGTAGAGAAAAGAAAGTGTTTGTATTAATGGATCATACACAAATAAATAAATATTGTACATCCAAATGTTTGACACGGCATAAAAATACAGTAAGTGCGCCCTCTTGGGGTTACTGAGCCATACTACATTTGAACAAGTTACATTAACGACACAGAGTTGAACGACAATAGTTTGAATAAAGAAAAAGCTATCTATCTATCTATCTATCTATCTATCTATCTATCTATCTATCTATCTATCTAAAATACATTAATGTTTCTTATGGGTTGCAAGCTAAGCAAGCAATGAAACAGAGACTGAACTCGTCATCTGAAGATAGATGACAGAGACTGAAGATTATGATCACGCGCGAAATTCATATGGTGGTCAGGGAGTGAAGAGCGCAATGGACGAGATGGAGGAAAGTCCGTACTGTACTACTTTACACGCTATTACAAGAGAAAGATATCATCAAAAAATCAAACATATGTTGGACATGATCCTTACGTGAAGAGGGGCGATTTTTCAACTAAACTGAAAGATTTTCCTGCCATCGAGGCATCAACTACCTCGTCTTACAGACATACTTTGACTTTACAAAGTTCGCAAACATTACACGTTACACAATCATAGCCACTTAAGTTGAATTAACTCACCTTTGAAGAAGTGATCACTGCACACACACACACGGGCATTTTCCCATTCAACTCCTCCCGACCACAGACGTAGGTTTTCAAGCCGTTTTTCCGGAGTTTTTCAGTTTTTCGGTCAATTTCTAGCATTTCCCCCTCTTATGAACAACAACTTTTGGTACATGATTAAAACTCCTCGTGATTTGATAGATTTAAGTAACCAAATGACAACACATGCGTTCTGAGTTTGTTATAGTGCTTTCTAAATACCAAATCACTTCCTGCCCTCCATTTGCATTTCGCGCCTTGCCAACGCAGTGACGTGACGTCATATGAAAACAATCTATAATGCTAAATCTTAAAGGGAGCAAACCATAAAATAGTATATATGTAATATCACAATTATCATTATTATTATTGCACATATATGCAGCTTGTAGTCTTTCTTTTTTTAGGAAAACATGACAAAACAAAAATAATGTTCAGCTCCGGCATGTCATAGCCCAACTTAAACCCGGAAAATAGGCCTAAGGACAAACCCTGCGCTAGTCAAAGGTCAATGGTTATTACAAGAAACGTTATGACTATTGGACAGAAACCAGGCCATAATAAATTAAAGAGCGCCCTCTACCGACAAACTAGCACGTTAGCCTTAGATGACATAAAGTTATATTTCTGACATGACTTTGAAAAGTAGCCTACATTTCTGTAAAATACCTCAAACAACTGCAAGGTCGGGTTTGAATCCCAAGAAATGTATGAACTTAGAAAATGTAATGAAATGTGATGTAGGCCCGAGTCTCTGTGGCTAAAAGCATCTGCCAAGTAAAATGTAAATGTATAAAACAACTGCGAAACTGAACTCTTTCTTACCCCCAGGTCACATAAATGAACAGCTATCGTACTATAGTTTGGCCCACTGACAAGCAGGCTTCTAGAAATAGACCCTTAAACCATTTACATTCTTAACACACTGGCAGTCGTTCCAGAAGCTGCTTACTTAAGCAAAAGCATGAAGTCACCGTTTCAAGTCTCATGACCTGACAACCTGACAGAGACTAGCATAATAATACTATTGCATAATCATTTTGATATAGCTAATAATTGCTCTTAAGCAGTATATGAACAATATGAATCACAAAACATTTAATGAAACAGGTAAATCTAATTATTGTTAGTTTGTTTTATAATGATTTTATGAATGTAAATTACACTTTTTGCTTTTATTTTAATGCGACAACTTGCCCAATATATTGTACATATATCACTCGTGACAAGCTGTCTCTTCTATCAAACTATGATGGAAATAAATGACTGCTTCTTGATGTACAATCAGGCTACAGCACTATATTTATCATATTTAAAAAACATAGACCATTTCACAAGCCTTTTACATTATTTTAGATATTTGTGAACGATGAAATGAACAGGGCATTATTGACACCAGCTGTACTGTGTGCATTATTAACTTCTTAATATTTATATCTTCTTGTTATTAGCAAATATTAACATTTTTGAAATGAATAAAGTTAGTATTTATTGTATTTTTATTGTATTTTACTTCTATTGAATATTGTTAGGGTATTTTATTATCTTGAAGTTATGGATCAATCTTAATACAATTATAACGAAAATATGTATGACATACAGATTAAATAAATACATTTCATTTTTAACGAATTTCTCAGTATAGTTCTGTCTTGTTTTCCTGTATGAATATATCAAAACTTTCTTAAATCGATTTAGATACATTTACTTGAGAAGCAAAATGACTTCACATAGCCTATTAAGTCTACTTTACTGAAAAATGTATCAAAATGAGTTCATGCTTAAAACAGGGACTCGTAAAAAGCAGCATGTGACACCAGTTTTAGCCTCACTCAATTGGTTGCCAGTGCAGCTCAGAATTGATTTTAAATGATTGATATTTGTATATAAAGCTTTGCATAATTTAGCCCCACCATAGCATCTCCTTCACATACATAAACCTTCTAGGTTTACCATTTACCTTCTCTTAGATCAGCAAATCAGATAATCACAGATATTTGTTTGTCGTTGTATTGTCTGAAAATATTATGTGTTTGTAGAGCACATTGGTCAACATCACGTTGTTGAAATGAAATGAAAACAAACACTGATTGGCACTAAAGGGGCCATTGTCATGTTCAAGAAACCAATTTGAAATGATTCAAGCTTTGTGACATGGTGCATTATCCTGCTGGAAGTAGCCATCAGAGGATGGGGACATGGTGGCCATAAAGGGATGCACATGGTCAGAAACAGAAACATGCTCAGGTAGGCCGTGGCATTTGAACGATGCCCAATTGGCACTAAGGGGCCTAAAGTGTGCCAAGAAAACATCCCGCACACCATTACACCACCACCACCAGCCTGCACAGTGGGAACAAGGCATGATGGATCAACGCATTCTCATCTGAGGGCGTCATGTAGTGATACTTTTGAAATTTCGTCTACATCCAACACACATGGCACCCTTTAGCATCAATATAACACGCACAGAGCTTTGTTCGGTTATGGTAGGTTTAGTTCTGGGGCAGGTTTAGGGTTACACCACTAGGAGGCGCCTTCTGGCACATTTATATATGACATTTATATTGACGCTAAAGGGTGCCATCTGTGTTGGATGTAGAGGAAATATCAAGAGCGTCAGTATATGAAGCCATGGGATGAGAACGGGCACGATGGATCCATGTTCTCATTCTGTTTACGCCGAACTCTGACTCTACCATCTGAATGTCTCAACAGAAATCGAGACTCATCAGACCAGGCAACATTTTTCCAGCTCTTACAAATTTTAGCCTCTTTTTCCTATTTGTAGTGGAGATGAGTGGTACCCGGTGGGGTCTTCTGCTGTTGTAGCCCATCCGCCTCAAGGTTGTGTGTGTTGTGGCTTCACTTTGGTTGTAACGAGTGGTTATTTCAGTCAAAGTTGCTCTTCTATCAGCTTCAATCAGTCGGCCCATTCTCCTCTGACCTCTCGCATCAACAAGGCATTTTGGCCCACAGGACTGCCGCATACTGGATGTTTTTCCCTTTTCACACCATTCTTTGTAAACCCTAGAAATGGTTGTGTGTGAAAATCCCAGTAACTGAGCAGATTGTGAAATACTCAGACACCAACAACCATGCCACGCTCAAAATTGCTTAAATCGCCTTTCTTTCCCATTCTGACATTCAGTTTGGAGTTCAGGAGATTGTCTTGACCAGGACCACACCACTAAATGCACTGAAGCAACTGCCATGAGATTGGTTGATTAGATAATTGCATTAATGAGAAATTGAACAGATGTTCCTAATAATCCTTTAGGTGAGTGTACATAACATGCTATATAACTCTAAATATAGCAAACCTGTTGCATCACATGTTCAAGGAAAGCCCAGGATCTGTTATGAAGCTTGTGTTTTCCCACTCAATCCCATCATGGTATCCAGTGCTGAGACGTTGCTGGAATGAACTAAAGCCCTGCTGGAGGGATTAGCCTGGATAGATAGGCTACTATAAATCTCCACTGTAGAGACACACACACACACACACACACTGACCGACTGAAACTCGCCGCTTTCCGCTGAGAACCACAGCGTCTCCTCACATCGCTGGAAAACATCACAGAAAATGACACTGAAAAAGGTAAGGTGTTGTTTTATCAGTTACTGTAGAATAGAATAGAATAATTTGCTACATTTATATAGTGCTTTTCTGGGTACTTAAAGCGCTTTACCTTGAAGGGGGGAATAGAATAGAATAGAATAGAATAGAATAGAATAGAATAGAAAAGAATAGAATAGAATAGAATAGAATAGAAAAAGGAAAATAATAATAATAGTATATAACAATTCAGAACTATGGAATAGAATTTAACAGAAAAATATAATATAATAGGATAGAATAGAATTCAACACAACAGCATAAGGTAAAATAAAATGACAATAGAACATAACATAAAAATAGAACAGAAAACTAATCAGAAGACTTCCTGTGAACCCTGTAAACCGTGAAAGAAAAGTGAAGCTGAATTAATCTACAAGTAATGATATCACTATAATAAAATAATATATATATATATATATATGAAGAGTTCAGATGCAAAAGCCTCTAAATGCCATTTGAAATTTTCTTCTTTAATGATGATTTTTATCAAACTTGTATATTTAAGTTCAGTAATTTCACTTAAATAACAAATAATAGGTAATTATCATTGCCATTTAAGTGAAATTACTGAACTTAAATATACAAGCTTGATAAAAATGATCATTCTAGAAGAAAATTTCAAATGGCATTAGAGGCTTTTGCATCTGAACTCTTCATATATATACTGTTACTGTATTATATATATATATATATATATATATATATATAATACAGTAACATATAATAATAATAGTTTCAAATGTAGTTCTCGGATCTGATTTCCTCAGAAGACACCGCATGCTTTACTGTATATTTCCATAAGGAGATTATTACCACTATTTATAGATCAAGCTTCTGTCTTTACTGAGACATAAACACATAATCAACAGTTTTATTCTACTAAAGAATTTTAAAACGAAACCAACTGTTTTACATCTTGCATTCATACACTTCATACACATAATCTAAATGATCTTTTTCATTAGACAATATGTCCTGTATTTCATGGTTTCATTTGCAGAGGTCAGTTAATCTCTAAATTTGGATCATATCCATAAGCTTATAAACAATAATCTAATCAAAGATTAAAGTTTACTCAGAGTTGTATTATAACCATTCTCAAAGTGAGTTAAATGATTATTATTTGGCATTATGTTATTGGCCTCTACATTAAATATTATTTTCCAAATCGGTTTGTTTCCCAGATTTCCCCGACGGTCCAGACCGTGGAAGGACAGGTGCCGCCAAGCTACGAAGAGGCCAACGCAGGTGCTTATCGTAGCATTCGGCCAAATGTTCTCAAATATATATTTCTGGTCTGATTTATGAATTTATTTGTCTTTTTGCAGGATGTCCTGGTTACTACTACGGTGAAGGAACTTTTTCCTGGGATGACAAATATATTAGACGAATCTTTATACGAAAGGTGACAATTTAAATGTTGAGGATTATCAAATCTATTGAGGATTATCAAATCAAAACGCTTGTAATAAACACATGTCTTGTCATTTCTGGCAGGTTTATTCCATTCTGATGTTGCAGCTCTTCTTAACAGTCGCAGTCATCGCCCTCTTCACCTTCCAGTGAGTCGAAATACTGCAAAGATGGATTATTATTACTGTGAAGAAATTAATACTTAGTCAGCAAGATTAAACTGTTCAAAAGATTGAACAATAGTTTTCCAGCAAAATACTGTTCAAAATACTGTACAGTTCTCCACAAAAATTTGAAGCAGCAAAACTCTTGTGAACACTGATAATCCTTACAAAACAAGCGTACTTCTAGTATATTCAAGTAAAGTTCAAGTATATTTTTAAGTATATCTTAATATCAAGGTACTAGTAGTATACTTATACTATTCCAATGCCATACTTGGGACTAAATTGGCCCACTCTTTTAAACAATGCAGCTTTGATCACATAAACAATTTACTGTGTTTACTGGTTTGACTTGGTGAGCAAACGAGACAAACAAAAAAAATCTTACCAACTTCAAACTTTTGAACAGTGTGTTGTATGAGTTATGTGTAAGCGTATTATGTTAAGTGTTGATTTTTGAGTTTTTAAGAACACTCCTGATCTCTTTTGCTCTGCTTTTCTCAGTGCTCCAGTGAGGATGTACATTCAAACACATCCGATTTTGTACTCCATGTCCAAGTACGTACACTGTAAAAAATGATTTTTTGGTTAAGTAAATACTAGTGAAAAAACCCAATGTAATTTACTTGAAAAAGTTAGTTCAGGCAAGAATTTAAAAAACTAAGTAAATTCCATATCAGTACTTATTTCAAGCGAGTATAAATGAAAGAGCAATATCAACTCAATAAAATTAAGTAAAAATTACTCAACTTTTCTGATACTGGGGTTCCCATCATGCACTGGACCTTGAATAATTAATGAGGTTCATTTTTCACTGGTTTCCAGCTGTATTTACACTGTTTTATCATTGATTTTTGTTTTCAGTATTAGTAAATTGGCATTTTGTGACATTTCGAGTACATTTTTTGCTTAAAACGACACATTCAAACACAAAAACGATCCATCAAATGTTACCACCATTGTGTATTGTCTACCAAGTATTGAGGTGTTTGCATTCACATAAGGCTTAAAGTCTGACATGGTGTATATATAAATTACTTAGATGATCTAAGTAAAGAACATACTATAAATGACTAATACAATTCAAGATAATTGTTTTAGTGAAGTGTAATATAAAGGCAAAGGAAATCGGTATTAATCAACCTTTTACAAGCCGAGTTAAAATTACTTATTTTAATTTTTGTAAAGTTTACTTAATTCCACATTCCAAGTAAATTTAACTTAAAGATTTCTAATTAAAGCTACTGATAAATATGTTTAGGTTTTTACTTGGCAAATCTTTGTAAATTTACTAGCATTTTCTGAGTGAGATCGTTTAGCAAGGTTTTTTCAAGTAAATCCTACTCCAAATTTTTTACAGTGTAATATCAGTCATTTAAATATGGCCATAAATGCTTTAAAATGTTCCTCATTTAGGTATTAATTTGTGTGATGTTTAACTAAAGCAAAATGTTTGTGTTTTGCAGTCTTCTGTTTCTCATCACATATTTCTCATTGGTTTGCTGTGGTGATTTGAGGTCAGTTCATGAAACAGTTTTGGTGATACACTTATTCTATATGAGAAATAAGCAGGAAAGCACATCGAATATAATCTTTTCATTTCTGTTTTATAGGAGGAAGTTTCCATGGAATTTTATTCTGCTTACAATCTTTGTGAGTTTTTGTTTAAATACTTTGACTTTATCATAATGAAATACATGCTAAAATAAAACAGTCTCTCACTTCAAGTACACTTCAAAATAAAAGTTCTTTATTGGCATCGATGGTTCCACAAAGAACCTTTTACATCTGTTTAACATCCATGGAGAACCTTTAACATCCATGGAGAACCTTTAACATCCGTTTAACATCCATGGAGAACCTTTACCATCCGTTTAACATCTATGGAGAACCTTTAACATCCATGGAGAACCTTTAACATCCATGGAGAACCTTTACCATCCGTTTAACATCTATGGAGAACCTTTAACATCCATGGAGAACCTTTAACATCCATGGAGAACCTTTACCATCCGTTTAACATCTATGGAGAACCTTTAACATCTATGGAGAACCTTTAACATCCATGGAGAACCTTTACCATCCGTTTAACATCCATGGAGAACCTTTACCATCCGTTTAACATCTATGGAGAACCTTTAACATCCATGGAGAACCTTTAACATCCATGGAGAACCTTTACCATCCGTTTAACATCTATGGAGAACCTTTACCATCCATGGAGAACCTTTATCATCTGTTTAACATCCACGGAGAACCTTTAACATCCGTTTAACATCCATGGAGAACCTTTACCATCCATGGAGAACCTTTAACATCCATTTAACATCCATGGAGAACCTTTAACATCCGTTTAACATCCATGGAGAACCTTTAACATCTGTTTAACATCCATGGAGAACCTTTAACATCCGTTTAACATCCATGGAGAACCTTTAACATCCGTTTAACATCCATGGAGAACCTTTACCATCCGTTTAACATCTATGGAGAACCTTTACCATCCATGGAGAACCTTTAACATCCGTTTAACATCCACAAAGAACCTTTAACATCCGTTTAACATCCATGGAGAACCTTTAACATCCATTTAACATCCATGGAGAACCTTTAACATCCGTTTAACATCCATGGAGAACCTTTAACATCCGTTTAAAATCCATGGAGAACATTTAACATCCGTTTAACATCCATGGAGAACCTTTAACATCCGTTTAACATCCATGGAGAACATTTATCATCCGTTTAACATCCATGGAGAACATTTAACATCCGTTTAAAATCCATGGAGAACATTTAACATCCGTTTAACATCCATGGAGAACCTTTAACATCCGTTTAACATCCATGGAGAACCTTTAACATCCGTTTAACATCCATGGAGAACCTTTAACATCCGTTTAACATCCATGGAGAACCTTTAACATCCGTTTAACATCCATGGAGAACATTTATCATCCGTTTAACATCCATGGAGAACCTTTAACATCCGTTTAAAATCCATGGAGAACATTTAACATCCGTTTAACATCCATGGAGAACCTTTAACATCCGTTTAACATCCATGGAGAACCTTTAACATCCGTTTAACATCCATGGAGAACCTTTAACATCCGTTTAACATCCATGGAGAACCTTTAACATCCGTTTAACATCCATGGAGAACCTTTATCATCCGTTTAAAATCCATGGAGAACATTTAACATCGATTTAACATCCATGGAGAACCTTTAAGATCCGTTTTAAATCCATGGAGAACATTTATCATCCGTTTAACATCCATGGAGAACGTTTCAAATGCACCAACATTCTTTAGATTATTCAAATGTTCTTCACACTAAGAAAAATAAGTTGTCTTCCGAAGTGAGCGCTGGAAGGTTCTTTGAGGAGCCAGTAATGGTTCTTCTACAGCAAAAAACATCCTTTTGGATGCTTTTATTTTTAAGAGTGTAAAGGACAGGTTTGCCTTTTGTCTTAATAACCAATATCTACAGTAGCCCAAAAATCATTTAGAGCAAAACTTAAAATGTTTGCATTTCATTGCATTACACTGCATTAATATACTTAAATGTTCTTTGATTATTTTCTTCCCCCTTTTCCCCCACTGTCATTTATTCTGCATGCTTTTGTGAACGTTGTGCAAACAAAGACTCTGAGCATGGCTTCCATGTTGGGTTTTATCTCCAGGTAATGACATATCCGTTACGTGTTTGAATGTTTGCAAACTTGTTTTTCTAAATTCCACAGGATATGTTTACAGTAATATCTACTGACCACAATGATCATTTTTCCTACAGTTTCTACAACACCAAGTCTGTGATGCTGTGCATTGGCATCACTGCCACCGTGCTTCTGTGCGTCACCATCTTCAGCTTTCAGAGCAAGGTGAGCAACTGATGAAAGAATTATAATTACGTTTTATTACACATTACATTTTTACTGAACATTGGTGTCTTTTATCATATTGCTTTTATAAAGCATTGTTGCCTTAAAGTACAATTCAAAATACAATAATATCATTTTTTTGTCTCTATAGATTGACATCACCTCATACCAAGGTGTTCTCTTCAGTCTGTGTATGGTCATGTTCTTCTGTGCTATTGTCATGGGATTCGTGGTTCCCTTTGGCTATGTAAGTATCAGAAACAATTGAATACACAGAGTTCAGGACCAGTGTTGGGGAAAGTTACATTTAAATGCAATGTGTTACAATATTGAGTTACTTACTAAAAAAGTAACTAATTAGGTAACTCTTGATGTAAAGTAATGCATTAAAGGATAATTCCGGTATTTAACACCTTGAGTCTATTTTGTAGTTTGTTTTGAATGAAATAGAGTGGTGGACTTAGAAATTTTGACAATGGGTCTTGTCTCGACTTTTTGACTTTTTTAGAATCGCCTGTGACCAGTGTTGTAGTACTCGAGACTCGGACTCGTCTCGGACTCGGTCTCGAGACCATATTTTAATGGTCTTGGTCTTGTCATGGACTCGTGTGCATCTGGACTCGGAATTGACTCGTACTCGAAAATTGTTTTTTTTAGGACTCGGACTTATTCCCGAGTCCACTCGAGTTCAATTCAAAATATTTTTCATGATTATTAATGTATGTTAATAAAATATTTCTTTAAATTGATTGACACGCCCAGTGATTGGTGATTTTCTAATGCGCAACTGCGCACGACAAATTGTAATAAAATTACTTTTAACACCACCTACTATGTGGCCTTTTTACCCTAAACTGATCATATTTTTTAAACTCTAAGTAAATTCAGTAAAAAATAAATTAAAAAAAAATAAAATTATTATTAAAAATAAAAAAAGTAAATAAAAGTAAATTAGGTAATCAACCCTCACTGGTCTCGGTCTCGACTCGGACTCGACCGTCTCTGGTCTCGGACTCGACTCTCTATGGACTCGTCTTGACTCGGACTCGACTCTCTCTGGTCTCGGTCTCGACTCGGACTCGAGTGAGGTGGTCTCGACTACAACACTGCCTGTGACAGTTTTAGACTGGCTGTCTAGGAGCATGCACAAACATGTCCATAAAACAACCCTTAACGTTCATTTTCAAAACTGTGCAACTCACCGAGTGGTTGGTGGTGTTCGTTGATGTTCTGAAACAAGTAGCGTAGCGAAATACCGTTTCTGTCATGTTTTATTTGTCATTTTTTAAAATCGCATTGATGTCTGCTGGAGGACTCAGTGCTCGTTGATATTACTGCGCTAGCTACCGGAAAAGGAAAGGGGTCTGTTTACATTTGGTTGTAGTCTTTTCGCTCAGTTCTCCGTCTCTCAGAAGGCTAGCCAAGGGGGTAATCCATCAGCTGGAAGCTGAAGCTGCCTCCGGGGGCCGCCATTGTTGTGTACTATCACCTGCTGTTAGCATCCCATTGACTCCCATTCATTTTGGCGTCACTTTGACAGCGAATAACTTTACATCTGAGGCGTCCAAAGACTCCATTTATCCATTATTTATTTCTAAAGAAACACGACAATGTATAAAAGGCTCCATTACTTTGTATGTTACGTTCTGGCCACGTAGAAGCCGTTCTTGTAAAAATAGGCTAAAAATTGCGTCATAACCACTAAACTGTCCGTCGCACAGTAGAGAAGTTACCGTATAGACAGGAGGAGAAGCTCGCACAGCCTCGCAGGCAATCTTTTACAGTCTAAAGTCACCCCATGGCATAGATAGAAGCAAAATGACAAACTAACTAATCAGAATACTTACCAACAGCATCCTGGTTGTTGCCATCAAGTGGTCGGGAGTGTGCTAACGCTTCAGACGGAAGTTTATACGCGGTTGTGAGGTATCTGAATAAATAGTTCCACAATAGCAAACAACACGGATTGAAAGCATACATTGCGCCGATATATTTGTTTTTAATCATCAATGAACACCACCATTCACTTGGTGAGTTGCACAGTTTTGAAAATGAATGTTAAGGGTTGTTTTAAGGACATGTTTGTGCATGCCCATAGACAGCCAGTCTAACGCTGTCACAGGCGATTCTAAAAAAGTCAAAAAGTCGAGACAAGACCCATTGTCAAAATTTCTAAGGTAAAAATTTCAGTCTATTTTAATTCATTTTGAGGAATAGTGTTTTTCTTCAAGTGGGATGAGTAAATGCTCACATTTAGTTTAGATCTACAATAGCCATCATCTTCACACACACAACACCTCTGCAGTTACTGGTTACGATTATTTACTTACGATTTCACTCAACAAAACTCTGGAGAGCTGTAAACATTTGCTGATAATTTACTCACCCCCATGTCATCCAAGATGTCCATGTCTTTCTTTCTTCAGTCGAAAAGAAATTAAAGTTTTTGATAAAAACATTCCAGGATTTTTCTCCATATAATGGACTTCATTGGGTACCAAATGGTTCAAGGTTCAAATGAGAGTTTCAGTGCAGCTCAAAAGGGCTTTAAACGACACCAGACGATGAATAAGGGTCTTATCAAGCGAAACGATCGCTCATTTAAAAAATAAATTAAAAACTACGTTTTGTGTCACAAATGACTCGAAAAAAGATTTGTTCATTTTGATGAACGAGTTCGAACAGGAGAGTCACGAACACGCATCACAGAACAGAGCAAGGTGAGCATTTGTGCTTATAAAACTTAAACTTTTTTATTTATTTTTTAAATGAGCGATCGTTTCGCTTGATAAGACCCTTATTCATCGTCTGGTGTCGTTTAAAGCCTTTTGAAGCTGCACTGAAACTCTCATTTGGACCTTGAACCGTTTGGTTCCCATTGAAGTCCATTATATGGAGAACAATCCTGGAATGTTTTCATCTAAATATTTTAATTTCTTTTCAACTGAAGTGAGAAAGACATGGACATCTTGGATGACAGTAAATGATCAGCAAACGTTTTTTTTTTTAAAAGCGAACTACTCCTTTAAAGTGTTACATTTATAAAGTAATGCGTTACTTCACCCATTAATCCCAAGAAATGAGTACATAATGCATGTTGATTGTAATGTGTTACAACATTGTTTTGTTCTGGGCTGTATTTTTAGAATCTGGCTAATAATACCAGTCTAAATCTGTACAAAACCATTATCTGTCCTAGATTCTAGTCGCCTTCTAACGGTTTCTCTTTTAAAAGGTCCCCTGGTTACATGCGGTCTATGCTAGCATTGGAGCTGTGGTGTTCACCATGGTGAGAAGCAGATTAGAAGGATTATGGTTTAAAATAATGAGGATTTACTTTGTGATTAAGGTGATATAATGCACTGACCCGAGTCTCTGTCTCGTCTGTCTCAGTTTCTAGCCTTCGATTTGCAGATGCTGATGGGGAACAAACAATACGCCATGAGTCCTGAAGAGTATATCTTTGCCACTCTGAGTCTCTACCTGGATGTCGTGTACTTGTTCACGTTCCTGCTTCAGTTGTTTGGTGATGGTCGAGAATGAGCCGCGGTTGTGTAGTAATATTCTCCATCACATACAATATTAATGTTCCAAACTGTTCTGCAAACCCAATGTATGTGGCCTTTTATGTTTCGTTAGGTTGAAGGAAAATCAACACTGTAAAGTGTATTCTCAGGAAATGTTAATATGTGCTTTTAACTTATTCAAAGGTCAAAATCTAAAACTTTGAATATGACTGAGATAAATTGAATACAATTTTAAATTAATAAACAAATTCAAATTTAGATAAAAAAAAATGTACATCAAATGTGGATTTGTATCTTGGCCACAAAAATGAAGAAAAAAGCCTTTTGCTCATGGCAGATGATGTTAGTCTGTGTGCTAATAACAGTTTTCACTCAACTGGTTCACAAAGTTCACATGCAGAGTTTATATTAAGCTCTATTATTAAATATTGTTTAATCAGTTTTATATATAAATGTTGTGCGTCAACAAACTGTGAAAAACTTGACTGAACATAATTTCATGGAAATTTTAAACAATTTTGAATGTTCATAATCTGTCATTGTGTATTGCACGTCATTTTTCATAATGCATTGTATTTCTGTAACTTTCACACATATGTTCTGTATTTGACAGTTCATCATTTCTGGATACCCATAATGTACTGCTGCACTTCTGCTTGCATATGACCAATCTGTCTTCAATAAGCACTTTATATTTTTATCTATGAATGTACTTGATAAGTAGATATTAAACTGTGGAATCAGGATTTATTTTTGAGCTAATCTTAACGTAAGTTTCTCAATTAGAGCTTTTGAAGTATTACTCAGTAGTTTGGTAAGATGTCTTATGTTGCTAACGGGCATGAGAAGACTAGAAAGATCCGAGAAAAGAAGAAGAATGAACACAGTCAAAGGCCTGGCTCGCAGTCTTCACCCCAAAGGTGTTCTCTCGGGTTGAGGCCAACCAACCCCGCAGCATAATCCCTCCTCCACCAAACAACCCCACACCATAATTCCCCCTCCACCAAACTTTACACTTGTAAAAATGCAGTCAGGCAAGTACAGTTCTCCTGACAGCCGCCAAACGCAGACTCATCCATCAGATTGCCAGTTCACGAGTTCACACAATTAGAGAGGGTAAAGTTTAATGCATATTTGAGGGCTTCTAGCTTGGAGTTCGGCCCGAACCCAGAGTACTCTCCGCTATTTAAGTAGTTAGGACTAGAAATGTGTAGAAAGCTTGATGGAGGGATGCTGCTAAACTATCGATGGAATGAGGTGAGACGGCTGATTCCATACACCTCTTATCATTGATTGTTGAGTGCTCTCCACCCGTGTGAATTACCTGAACGTGCTCCTCCCAAACTTTGTTAATAAAACATCATACCGAGAAGCGTGATTCGTCACTCCAAAGATCAGGTGTCCACTGCTCTAGAGTCCAGTGGCGGCTGCTTTACAGCTCTGCTTTGCAGTGCACTTGTTGATGTAAGGCTTGGCTGTGCACTGTTCTTCAGCTAATCTGAAGGCCACACGAAGTTTGGAGGTCTGAAGCTATTGACTCTCAGGCCCCGTCCACACTACTGCGTTTTCGTTTAAAAACGGAGAATTAAAACGAATACGATCTCCGTCCACACCAGTGTTTTATCTGCATATTAGAAACGATCTCCATCCACATTAAAACGACTAAAAACGCGGATCACGTGACCATTCACCAACACTGGGCATGCGCGTGCCGGTGTAAACAGTGAATGACGAATCAGGGAAGGAAACGTCATGACTGATGACACCCAATCATAGAGCCGAGCGTCAGCCTCTGCGTCAGCGTTTCTGAAGTTCTCCGTTTTGTCTCGTCCAGACTAAAACGCCCTTCGGAGATTCAAAACGCAAAACGCAGCTGCAGCGTTTCTAAACTTCTCCGTTTTAAGTCTTCGTTTTTCCCGTTTTTAGTGTGGACGGGAGGTGCAAATGTAGCAAAAGGTCTCCGTTTTTAAACGAAAACGCAGTAGTGTGGACGGGGCCTCAGACTGATCTCATTAAGGGTTCTCTAAGCGATGCTGGGCCAAAACATTTTTTGTCACATACATCAAACGTCTCCTCACTATCGGCTAGCTGCCTGTCCCCTAAACACACTGTATAAAAACGCGGTCTCTGTAGACACCACAGGCTCCACAAACGGCAACAAAAACAATCATGTCTCACCCGGACCACGAAACCTAACAAACAGTGTTCCAGCCAATCACTGGCAAGAAGTATTTGAGGGTGGGTCTGGGGGGTTAGTGCGCGTGCACATGAAGGGTTTGTGTGTGTGAAGGAGAGCAGCGAAGCATCAGAGGGAAGTTTGAAAAATGGCCGAAACACGACCAAAGAGACGTCGTTCTGAAGAACAAATTAAAAAGAAGAAGGAGTCGGATAAAGAACGTGCGAAGTTCCGAATTTACATCGATAGCAAAGCTTTTGAACGATGGCGAGAACTCCGGCGGCAGAAGGGCTTCCAGTCCGACATTCAGGTTGCTCTGGTTTTGCTGGACAGGTGGGTAACGTTAAATTGTTTTTTTTTTTCTTCTAAATTGACGCTTATGTTCGCCAAACCCACACAAGGATATAATTAGCTAGAAATGCACGTTCACAATTATTTCAGGAAGCACAGAAGGGAGGGGGAGGAGATGAGATGCGGAGGAGGGAGGGTCTAGCTCCGATTTGTTTGAAAATATTCGAACGTCAACACCCAGGATCGCTTTGAGAACCTTTAAGTAGCGCGTGTACACTCTAAAAAATGCTGGGTTGTTTTAACCCAACTTTGGGTCAAATATGGACTAACCCAGCCGTTGGGTTAAATTTTTACATTACATTTTTAACCCAACATTTTGGGTTTGTCCATATTTGACCCAAAATTGGGTTAAAACAACCCAGCATTTTGACACGCCAATTCGTATTTCCATTTTTGGCGTGCTATCAAGACGCATAATCACTTTTCAGTGTGTTTACGAACGCCGTTGACTTACCGTTATTACTGTATATATAAATATATGACTTACCTCAACCCCGTCCCTAAACCTAACCGTCACTGGGTTTAATGGCATTTATGACTGTTCTCTTACCATCCTAGGAAAAAAAAGATCGCTCCCCAGATGTAGATCTACATTTGCTTCGTTTCGCGCGGACATTTGACGGAGTGTACAGACACGCGGAATCACTCGGACGTTAATGACATAGACATACACGCGGATAGCTCAAAATGCGTAGAGATAACACACCACTTGACTCGAAAGTGGCATGTATGTTTACGAAAAAGTCATGATGTCATGTTGCGAAGTGAGGAAATTTCACGAATGGATTTATTACACAGGTGGAAACCTATCACGGTACCACGCTTGAGTTCACTGAGCTCCTGAGAGCGACATGCAAGTGTCTTCATGCCAAGGAGCTTGAGTTTATAAACAACTGTGGACATAGAAGTCTCTCTCTCTCACACACACAGATATATAGACAAACACACATAAACAAAAACATATGTTAGATGCGATTATTTGATTTGCCAGCACTAGTAGTCGAATTTAGACTGTGGAAACGCAATTATAAATACATAATTATAAATTTCAATGAAAATTAAAAGAGCATATGATTCCTTAAAATTCTTAAAAAAAATCAACCTAAATAAAATAAATAAACTGAAGCTGATGTTATTTCAGTAGGTGAAAATGCTGTGATTGAATAAACAAAACCCAACAAAATACAAACAAGATTTTATTAAAAAAAGAAATTCAGGAGATCAGTTTAAAAAAAGTAAAAACAAACAGAATATGTTTTTTTTTTCCAACAAAACAACAGTAACAGAATATCAGAAACTGTGGCACAGGAAGACAATTTACCGGCTAGAAACTCTGGTTTACATGCAGACAGACCATAAACTGTTTCTTCAGCTCTCTGTACAACATATGTGACTGTATAAATAAAGAATATGTTTTAAAAAAGCTGTTCAAGAGACAAGCCATTCTTTCAATAATCACATCACGACCATACGTATGGCTATATGACGAGCTGTGTCTGTGGATCTAGACCCAAACTCTGAACTCTACACACAGCTGGTGTGTGTGTGTGTGTATGGCTCTCTGGTGAACAGCTTCAACACCCCATGTTAGCAGCAATACATTTTGAAACTATGAAACGAGCTGTTCAAAACATTAGCAGCTATTTGTAAATCGATGGAATTAAATCTGCAAATTGAACTGATTCGGTATCATCGCAGTTGTTGAGAAAAATATAATAATTTAGATTTGAATTTGAATTGTTATCATTTCAAAGTTTCAAAACCGTGTTTCATGTTTTGTATGTGTAATGGATGATATGATTTAAGCTTATAAACCAAAAAAAAAAAAATAAAAAAAAATCCTGTGTTCCTTCATGAGGTGCATGGTATCATTTGAGAAATATATTTAGACATAGCGTTGTCAAAACTTAAAACATCAACAATAAAATCACATTGACAAAGTGGGCAAAGGGTGAGAAGTCAAAGAAACGAAAAAAAAAGAAAGGTGAAAAACACTTGATCATTGCCGTAACCAACTAACTCATGCTATTTCAAATCTCATCGTCTCCATCATTCATATGGATTTAAAGGGGTGGTATAATGCCCTGTTCACAAGATGTAAAGTAAATATCTGATGTCCCCAGAGTGTGTATGTGAAGTTTTAGCTCAAAATACTCCACAGATATTTTTATATAGCATGTTACACTTGTCACTTTTTGAGGGTAAGCAAAAAACGAACAGTTGTGTCTGGCCCTTTAAATGCTAATGAGCTGCAGCTCGCGACACAGTGGGCGGGGCTTGGGGCTTCAAGACTGCGTGTGTTAGCAGCTCCGATTACCTCACGCAGACACACGCTAAAATGTCAGAAACTGTTCTGCATTTTCTGTTTAAACCGGAGTCAGACAAAGATGGAGAGACTAAGAAGAAGTGACAACATGTAGAATGCAACAGGACGTCTCTGAAAAGTTAGTTGATGAATTTATGTTGGTGATGTGGAGTTAACTATCTTCAATTAGCATATTCTGTCATTATAAACTATAAATAACTTGTATAGGAACTGTTGTGAGAGATACACTCCACACAGAGTAACACTCCGTGCATGTGAAAAGATGGATGCTGAAGTTTACAACAGCCCTTCCTCTCCTCAATAATGGACTGCGTGTTCCCGGGGACGGGGTTTATGTCAATTTTAGGGTTAATGACGTCACTAACCCGGGAGGAAGCTTTTTAAGTTCCTACCAGCCGTTTGTTGTAGTCCTTAAAAAACGATTTCTTTAAAAGCAAATATCTTCGTTTGTTTTGAACTTTGAGCGTTGTAACTTTGCAGAGCTCGAACAGCAACATTACACACTAACTACAGTTACAAAAAGTGAAATCACAATCGACCACCCCTTTAAGGCTTTTCAAATATTTTTCAGTAAGAAACCGTTTATAAAACCGTAAAGGCATGTTAACTCTTGGTGGCATTGATATCTTTGGTTGCAGGAATGAATCAATTCTTTGGGTGGCCTGAAGATTTCAGTCACCGCCAATCGTGTAGAAAGTAAATCTCAGCAAACTGTAAGAGGTATAGATCCATTTCAGTAACAACGTTCTTTGAATATCATTTCAAACTATCCTAGAAGCTACAAGATATTTTTTTAAGTGAAAGAGTCTCTTTTCTCAGTTTTCAGATCAAGATCATGGCTTTACGTTCATGAAATGTAGAAGCACCAAGAAGAAGAAGAAGTAACAGCTGCATCACGAGGCCTTTAGTGTGAGAGAAGCCCTTGTGTTTATATCCTATAGAAGAGCCACACAAAAAAAGGTACAAGGTACAAAAACAACTCATGTGGAACCATGAGTAAATATACACTCTTTTTAGATTATCAGTGACATCAAAGCTTTCATTTTCGGATATTCAAACTCTTTCAGAAGTGCATCATGATTGACCAGGACAGTACATTTCAAGTACAACAACAAACCGCACAGAGAAGACACAAAGAACATGAAAGCAACTCAAGAAAATGTTTTTCATTTGCACACAAACAAATTCCCCAAAAATCCTATGAATCAGGGATTTAGAAAGGAAAACAGACGAGCGGAGGAACCCTCATCATCTAAAGACCGGACAGCGAATCTCATTCGGACGGTAAAACCAGCAGCATGAAGGAAGAACGCCACTGAAAAACTGCTTCTGTCCTCCTTCATCCGAATCCTAGCTGTTCCTGCGCTTCACGTGTAATCCCAGCACCAGCGAAGGCTTTCTACACACTACCAAAGCCATGATAACACTCGACCCGATGAAGCCGTGACCACCAAACGTACGCTTGTTCATCAGTGTCGTGGTCTTGTTTTCCCATGAAGATATATCTAAACAGCCGAAATACTGAGACTTGCTTTCAGAGAATATATCTGGAACCATGTGTATTTTCTTTAATCAGAGCTTGACATGAACATCCGCGACTCTCCGACCCAACGTGTGTATTTCAACAGCGGTGTCACTAGTAGCCACTATGGCGGGTTGAATATTATACTAAATATATACATTTTTCAGTTGTTGTCTTTTAAAAAGGTGTCTGAAAAAATAAACTAGACACACGATACTGACTGCGAGTTACACACAAACCCGCCTCTCTTCACTCACTCGTTTCATTTTCTCCGGGTAAATATTGTTGGTGTTACAGGGCTGGGATTGCGCATAATTTGACTCATTCCCGCAGGTTTTGAGACCAAACCAACACATAAAGCCGCCTCTCAGTACTAAACCGAGCTGATTGCAGTCAAATACACACAATAATGTCAAAATGCTGGTCTCGGCGAGTATTCACGTGTAAACAGTCAGTTAGGTTTTAAGTGAACGCAAGCAGTTGACAAATAAAGCCACGTGTATCAGTGTAATGGATCCGTGTCAGGTCTTAAAGTGACAGCAGCCTAATATTCCTAATGCCAAAATATGAGATAATATTAAATATATCTATATGGCAGTTTTCCCCATGGTATCGATGACAAGATTGTGGCCAGTGAAAATGCTGAGAGGCTCGTAACTTTGGAAAACCACTAGACACAGGGGTTGGTGAGCAAAAAAGTTCATGTCAAGCCTTGGTTATAATACATATATATTCGGCATAGTTCAAATAAACGTCAAAAAACGACGACTAAAGAAATTAATATTACTTTCTGAAAAAAATTACGCTGTTTTTCCTCATGCAGTAAGTAGGGTCTCTCAATTAGGCCAATAATTTAAGATCACATGACTAGTGATGGGAGAAACAAAGCTTTTCTAAACTTTGAATCAATTGATTCACAAAATGATTCACTGGTTTGAATCAATCGAAACGCCACACAATGCTGGTCAGAACAGCGAAAACACAGCCAAAACATGCACACAAACTTTTAAAAGGTTTTATAATCTATTAAATGCAATTATCGAAATATCGAACACCATTAAATATGAAGTGCCCTTATAATATGTGCTATTTTATTAAATGTGTTTAAGAACTTGGTTAATCAGACCAATTAGTGACTACTAACTACAATCCTTATTTTTAAATGTTGAAACCGTCGAAATTTAGGGAGATTTTTAGACACTTGTGATGTAACGAAGCCTTGTTGACTGGAATCACATGACTTCGGCAGCTTCATACGTTTTTCGAATCACTGGTCCGAAACAAATGATTCACATAGGGTTTTGAAAATCTTCACGAAGCTGCGTTTCGCCCATCACTACACAAGTCCAAGATGTCTGCCATATCGGCCAGAGCAGCATAAATCATAAATCGTGACCGGGTCTCCTTTTAGTACGTTCAGGTATAGTGACGAGACAAAATACTGAATAAAACTGCATAGCAAATGCCTTGAGTTTCTTCCCGTCATTGTTATTTTGCTCCACTGCATGTGTTTAATAGATTCATAGCAGTAAAACAACATAACAGGGAATCTTTCCCTTCTGAGTTTGATTACATACCTGCTTTATGCTGATTTATGACCGTCCTGTATTGAAAGCTTCATCAAGTCAATATGTTATCATCACTTTATGAAATATTTTTGATACTAACAAACCACTTAATGTCACTTCCTCTAGACTTTTGTACTGTAAGCCAATAAAAGTAATATTTATGAAACACTATGTACATTACAATGCATATTTCCAACGCTTTTGGAAGCCTGAAATATTTGGTGGCAAAAAATTGCGTTTTAGCTTAAGTATGAAGGGAGGACACAGAAATGATTAATTTACATTTTCATATTTTAAATAAAAATGAATTGATCCTGAACACTGTAACGTTAGGCACAAACTGTTTCACAGGTAATCATTAGATTTAAAATGCCCCTCATAAAACACATTTCTACAAAAATCTGGTTCAAACTATGTTTAAAAAAGCTGAAGCGCATCAAAAATATCCGGATAATCTCACAATATCTGATATTCTATCTATTTCTGCATCTAATCGTTCATTTGAACTTGAAAGACAAATCTGTATATTGCCCTGGTATGTACCAAAAAAGATACTTTTTTCAATAAATAATAATTTAAGGATTGTCAAATGCTTTCGTAGAAGTGATGATCGAATTAGAGTGATTTTATCACTATTTCTTTATAGATTCTTAAAACGGTGCGACATGAAGAAGTGGCTTTAAATGGTTTCTTCAGCAGAACATCACACAAAAAAAAAAATGCACTGTTTGCATCTTAATCTGTACAAAAATATCTTACTGCTGCTGACGGAAGAAAAAAAGGAACAAATCTAAAAAATAAAAAGGTTGCATATTTTACAAAGAAAATAAAAGACATGTTTTTACTTTCTCTTTTCTCATCCTCCCATATTAAAGAATTAGTTCTTAAAAATAAGAATTTGCCATTACGTGCATAAAAGAACACATTGTGTTTTCCTTAGCCTTTTCTGAATTATCTTTGTTTTTTATGCTTTTTCTGTTTTGTTATCAAAATAGATGAAGGGATAGCTCTTTTGCACAGACTCCCACCGTTGGCCGAGTGACACCTGAAGAGAGGAGTTGGACAAAAGATGAGTGACGTCCTTCTCAGACTCTGTTCTACAAAAGATACAAGCTCCTTTTGTCATCTGTATCCCCTCTGCTACTCTTCTGTGGAAATCTGCAAATCTCACGAGAGATTTCCATTGTCCACAGAACTGTAGAGCACCTGCAGAGAGAGAGAGAGAGAGAGAGAGAGAGAGAGAGAGAGAGAGAGAGAGAGAGAGAGAGAGAGAGAGAGAGATTATATATAGAGCCTTGTAAAAACTCATTCAGATTTGCCAATTTTCTATTAACTCATTGCTAACATGTTTTAAACCTTGTTGTTTTAGCATGTTTTTGACATATTTCTAATGTTTTTACCAAGTTGCTAGCATCTTTCAACACTTTACATGTATGTTGCTAACATTTAACACATGCTAATATGTTGCTAGCATTTTGAACATGTTGCTTGCATGATTTAACATATTGTTAGTATTTCTAGGATGAATTAGCGCATTGCTAACATGTTTTAACATGTTGCTAACATGATTTATCACAATGATATCTTTTTTTAATCAAGAATACACACATTACTAGCATGTTTTAACACATTGCTAACATACATTTACAAACATGTTTACAAATGTTTTGCTATCACCACATTGTTAACATGATTTGGCACATGGCTAGCATAACTTAACACATTGTTAACATTGCTAATATCATGGTGTTGGAATGTTTCTAACATGAATTAGCACTTGCTAGAATGTTTTAACATGCTGCCGACGTGATTCAGCACATTGATAGCATGTTTTTAGCATTATTTAACACATTGTTAGAATGTTTTAACGTGTTTCTAGCATGTTTCTAGCATTAATCAGCACATTCCTAACATGTCTTAGCATGTTGCTAGCATGATTTAACACACTGCTAACACACACTGCTTTTTTTTTACACATTGTTTTTAAACATGTTGCCAACATGATTTGACACATTGGTAACATGTTTCTAGCACGCATTAGCATATTGCTAGCATGATTTACCACGGTGTTGGCATGTCCTAGGCTAGTTGCTAAGCCTAACTAGTGGTCAGAGATATTTAAATACTCTATAAGAGTTCATGTTTAAAGGTTTTATCAAGCCAACATAAAAATATAAGCCACAGTGCCAAACCAGCCATTTAATAGACAGCACACTGAATGTTTCCCATCTTTTACGTGCTGTATTACCGTAGCTTCATTTGCTGTGCTGATAGGAATAATTAGTGTGTTCCGAAGGCGTCTCCATGGAAACCTGCTGCTGTTGTCCACTGTTTTCCTACATCACACAAAATGAGAATGAATCAAATGTAAGTAATGAAGCAGTTCATCATGTAAAGCAGTGTGTGATGATGAACAGTTTTCGTACCTCTAATGTAACACTAGAGGGAGGCACTGGGGTGTACTGAGGGATGTACGTTCCTTGCATAGCTGTGTTAGGAATATACTGTAGACAACATAAATAAAATCAACGGTTAAAAACCTTCCATTGCATTTTAAAGTGCCCCTATTATGCTATTTTAAAGGTTCCTAATGTTGTTTTGGCATCTCCTACAACAGGTTTACACTTATCCAATGTCAAAAAACGCTCTTTTTCTCATAATATCCATTGCAGCATCAGCTCTTTTCTTTCAATCTTTTTTCGTGTCATTTGGATCATTCAACGAACGAAATGAACAAATTGACTCGGGAAAAGATTCATAAACGAGTTCGAACGGGAGAGTCACACAGTACAGAGCAAGACAAGCTTAAAAACTTAAACTTTATTATTTATTCATTAAATGAGTGGTTGTTTCGCTTGATAAGACACTTATTCATTGTCAGGAATCATTTAAAGCCCTTTGAATAGTTTGCAGTTTGCACTGAAACTGTCTTTTGGACCTTGAACCGTTTGGTCCCCATTGAAGTCCATTATATGGAGAAAAATCCTGTAATGTTTTTATCAAAAAACCTTAATTTCTTTTCGACTGAAGAAAGAATGACATGGACATCTTGGATGACATGGGGGAGAGTATTTATCAGCAAAAGTTTTTTTTAAAGTGAACTACTCCTTTAATGACAGTTGTCATAAACATGCATAAAACCTGACGTGTCGTGTCATGATTATGAAGGTGTCAGTTTTATGCACACCCCTTCAAGTAAAGTGTTACCAAAAGTTCTAGTTGCGAAAACTCCTGTTGAGGATCTATGAAAGGTGAAAGAGCGAACCGTGCCGGTGCTGCCGAGAGACAGGTGACCCAGCTGCTGGGTCAGGGGTCCCATCATAGACGTGGGCTGAAGGGACATCGGGTGATCCATAGCTTGAGTCAGAACAGTCCCCTACACAGAGAGAGATGTTATAAACAGAGAAGATGCGTGTAAAGCTACAGTCCAGCATAAGTGACACTCACTGCGGGCTGCATGAGGTACGACTGATGATGCATCCAGGACGGGCTGTGCATCTGTGGATCCAGACACAAACAACATGGATATATCATTTCTCCGACTGAACCTGTCTCATGCAAACTCCCCTGTATCTCTCAACACTTCAGACTCACAGAATCACACAGCAGACACTGGGGATTCAAATGCACCATACCAGCCAATATTAATGAGCTATCCCACAGTGCATCTGGATCCATATTCTGCTCATTTAATGCCAGATGGTACCATTCGTGACTGGAATGGGACAGGGGTTTGCATCTAAAAATAGCCTTTAAATGACCCTTTATGCACATACATAGGCAACAAAAGTTTGAAATAATTACGAATTTTCATGTTTTTGAAAGAAGTCTCTTCTGCTCACCAAGGCTGCCTTTATTTGAACAAAAATACAGTAAAAATTGTGAAATAAGATTACAATTTTAAACAGCTGTTTTCTATATGAATATATGTTAAAGTATAATTTATTCCTATGATCAAAGCTGATTATTCTGCATCATTACTCCAGTCTTCAGTGTCACATGATCCTTCACAAATCACTCTAATAGGATGATTTTTTGCTCAGTAAAAAAAAAATTAAATAAATAAAAATACTGCTCAGTTATCATCAATTATTATTGGTGCTCAATTATAATTAATGGTTCTTATTCTTATTATTACAGCTTAAAAATTATAAATGTTTTTTTTCAGGATTCTTTGATGATGTAAAGTTCAATAAACAGCATTTATTTGAAATAAAATCTTTTACATTCTGAAGGTCTTCACTGTCACTTTGGACAGGAAACATGTTTTAATGGTAGTGTTTCACGGTTTCCATAAAAAATATTAAGCAGCAAAAATGGCACGAATGTTTCTTGAGCAACAAATCATCATATTAAAATGATTTCTTAAGGATCATGTGACACTGAAGACTGGAGTAATGATGCAGAACATTCAGCTTTAATCACAGGAATAAATTACACTACTACTGTATATATTCACATAGAAAACATTTACATTTACACAGTGAAAACAGCTGATTTACATTGTAATCATATTTCACAATACTTAAAATATTTTTTTTTACTGTATTTCTGATCAAATAAATGCAGCTTTGGTGAGCCGAAGCAACTTTTATTGAAAACATTATAAAAACACTTACACAACAAACTTTTATAAATGTGACACAAAAAATGAATGCAATGAATGATGATTTAAATTTTTGGGTCTGCTATTCCTTTAATATTTAGCTGGACATTTGTGCCTCCATTGATAATAATAAATAAAAAAATAGCCAATCACCATCAAGTATTTCACTCTGGCGAATTTGCCAGAGGCTGTACCTCCCTTGGTATATCAACCAATCATCGACGAGACGCAAATTAAGTAAATTATTTTATATTGTCTTGCTGTATATGTGTCGTTTTCTGTACATTTTCTGTCTAAAAGTGACTAAAAAACCTATTTTAAAGCAGTCAAATTAAATCCTTGGGAGGGGATTCGACCGCTCAAATTGTGTATGCCACCAGCCGACTGAGCTGTAGCATCATTCCTCTAAAGGGCCATTCAGTGCGCTTTAAACACACGTGTCAGACCTACAGGACCTCAGCGAACACAGCATTAGCTTTTGCCTGTTCATCCATCAGGACTCAATAAGGTGTCAGAATTCCCACAAGCCCCTGCGGTCTGATATTCTCCTCAACGCTTGCTGAGTCACCGTGATTTTCCATCTGGCTGCTGTCGGCTTTGGCACACGCTGAGACTGAGCTCAGTATCTCTACAAAATGAAAAAATCTAATCTGGATTGACATTCAGATCTGTGTAATCAGAAATGAAGGTCTGCTCAGACATGGAAGAGTGAGACCACTGAGTGAACGAGTAAGTCAACAGAAGATGTTGCTGTAGGAAAGCATTTTTTAGTAAATCAGTAAAAGCGTGTTAATGTGTTTTGATTAATATTGCAGAAAAAAGCTATAATATTTGTGTATGTGTACAGAGAACTGATGTTTAAGTATGTTTCAACAGCACCTCTTATGTCATGTTGTTTTTAGGCTCAACTAGAACAGATTTTCCTGCTTGAATGGTGATTATTTTCCCCATATTCTCCATTGTTGCGGCTCCTCTCTTCCCAGTCTGTCAGTAACGCTCTGTTTAGTTCCTGTCTCTATGAAGCCCCTCCTTCTGAAAAGCACACTGTGCTCTGATTGGTCAGCTGGAGCAGTGTCTTATGATTGGTCGAGCGCTTTGAGTGTGTTTGGGAAATGTCCCGCCCTTACCATAACCGTCAGACTTTAAGAACTTAGCAGAGATTTATATGCTCAAAAGGGCAACTACACACTAATGAGAGATGAAATAATCGGTCCTCTTTAATGATGCTCACCTGGTAGGACGGTAATTGTGATTGCATGTATGGAGATAGAGATGTCTGAGCGATCATTCTGTTTGGAGCGATGCTGTACGGAGAAGAATAAAACCTGAAAATAATCAGCAAAAACAAACAAGCTTAAACATCAGCACTTAAGTTAGATGTTTAGTTAAAAGCAGTTAATATTGTGATGATATATAGGCAAAAAAACAAGCATTTTTAATATACAGAATAGATGGTCGATGCATTAAAACAGCAGGCTTTTGAGTGTCTGTTCTCACCCGTTCTGTAAGGCTGTTGGGTCGTATGTGAGCGTCATTCCTCCCTGAATGTGGAAATGAATATGATTAACTTTAGGTCTTTATGAATACTCACATATGTAAATATATATGTAAATAATGCTCGTACCGTATCGCCGTCTCTATGCCAGGGTCGACCGTTCTGTAGGTACTTTGTCTGGTTCTGTCGCTTCTTTTGTCCTCCGTCAGCAAACTTGCATAACAACGGTTCTGAAGGTACTACAGTCGAAGTGACCAGAAACCAAAATATTCGTTTTAAATTTTCTTTAATTGGAATTTATATAAAATAAATAATATATATATATATATATATATATATTGTCTACCTGGCACTCCTGGTGGGGTTTTGATATATTTTCCATTAAAATGCTGAATGATGGCTTCACACTTCTCTGTAGATTCCATCCTGTTATACAAAGATAAGGATAAACTAATGAATGGTGGGAAAAGTGGCGAAATTCATTTATCAGCTTTATTTTTATATTCAAACATATGTATTTCACATATAAAAGATGGTAAAGGCAAGAATATCCCTGAATGAAATATGGATGGATGTATTTTATGGATGGATGTATTTTATGGATGGATGGATTTAATGGATGGATGGATTTTATGGATGTATGGATTTAATGGGTGGATGGATGGATTTAATGGATGGATGGATTTAATGGGTGGATGGATGGATGATTTGATGGATGGATGGATTTAATGGGTGGATGGATGGATGATTTGATGGATGGATGGATTTAATGGGTGAATGGGTGATTTAATGGATGGATGAATTTATTGGATGGATTTAATGGGTGGATGGATTTAATGGGTGGATGGATTTGATGGATGGATGATTTTATGGATGGGTGATGGAGGAATGGATTAATGGATGGATGGATGGATTTTATGGATGGATGGATTTAATGGATGGATGTATTTAACGGGTGATTGGATGGATGGATTTAATGGATGGATGGATTTTTTGGATGGATGGATTTGATGGATGGATGTATGGATGGATTTGATGGATTTAATGGATGGATTTAATGGATGGATGATAGATTGATGGATTGATTTAATGGATGGGTGATGAATGGATTGATGGATGGATGGATTTAATGGATGGATGGATTTTATGGATGGATGGATTTGATGGATGGATGGATTTGATGAATGGATGTATTAATGGGTGGATGGATGGATGTTATTTAATGGATGGATGGGTTTAATGGGTGGATGTATTTAATGGGTGGATGGATTTAATTGGTGGATGTATTTAATGGGTGGATGTATTTAATGGATGGATGGATGAGTGAGTGATGGATAAAGTACCTAGCGAAGCCGACTCCTCTGCTGGTTCCGTTAGCGTCCCGTAAGATGCGAGTGGAAATGACCTGACCGAAGGATTTGAGCATGGCCTCCAGCTCCTGCTCGTCCATGGACATGGGCAGGTTAGAGATGTACAGGTTGGTGGGATCCTGTTCCTGTTGCTGGAAATAAATGCAGAAATTACATCTGATGGTACTAATCATTCGTACAATTCATAGTTTTCACATGACATCACACCCATATAGGAACACCCACCATAGTAAAAGACCAAATTCAATATACACCTTATTAATTATATGTACAGGCGAGTAGATGAACACAGACTACACACAAAGCTCAATTTCTCGTTAAGTGTTTTTTTTTTAAAGCATTATAAACAAATCCCTCCACCATTTATTTTGTTGCAGTCATATTCTGAGCTCAGGTGACAGCAACTCGTCAAGAGGCGGGTCAGAGGTCACTCGACATGCATAGGGTCAGAGTTCACTTGTCATGTGTAGAGTCAGAGGTCACTCGTTTATGGATAAATTTAATGGATGGATTACATCTGACTTGTCGCGTGTAGGGTCAGAGGTCACTCATGTATAGAGTCAGAGGTCACTCGTCATGCGTAGGGTCAGAGGTCACTTGTCATGCATCGGGCCAGAGGACACTCGTCATGTGTTAGGTCAAAGGTCACTCATCATATGTTGGGTCAGAGGTCACTCGTGGATGGATGGATTTAATGGATGGATGAATTACACCTGACTCATCGTGTGTAGGGTCAGAGGTCACTCGTCATGCGTTGGGTCAGAGGTCACTCGTCATGCGTTGGGTCAGAGGTCACTCGTCATGTGTTGGGTCAGAGGTCACTCGTATATAGATGGATTTAATGAATGGATTACACCTGACTCGTCAAGTGTTGGGTCAGAGGTCACTCGTCATGCATTAGGTCAGAGGTCACTCGTCATGCGTCAAGTCAGAGGTCACTCGTCATGCATTAGGTCAAAGGTCACTCAACATATGTTGGGTCAGAGGTCACTCGTGGATGGATGGATTTAATGGATGGATGAATTACACCTGACTCGTCATGTGTAGGGTCAGAGGTCACTCGTCATGCGTTAGGTGACGAGTGACCATGCATCACTCATCATGCGAAGGGTCAGAGGTCACTCGTCATGCGTTGGGTCAGAGGTCACTCGTCATGCGTTGGGTCAGAGGTCACTCGTGGATGGATTTAATGAATGGATTACACCTGACTCGTCAAGTGTTGGGTCAGAGGTCACTCGTCATGCATTAGGTCAGAGGTCACTCGTCATGCGTCGAGTCAGAGGTCACTCGTCATGCATTAGGTCAAAGGTCACTCAACATATGTTGGGTCAGAGGTCACTCGTGGATGGATGGATTTAATGGATGGATGAATTACACCTGACTCGTCATGTGTAGGGTCAGAGGTCACTCGTCATGCGTTAGGTGACGAGTGACCATGCATCACTCATCATGCGAAGGGTCAGAGGTCACTCGTCATGCGTTGGGTCAGAGGTCACTCGTCATGCGTTGGGTCAGAGGTCACTCGTGGATAGATGGATTTAATGAATGGATTACACCTGACTCGTCAAGTGTTGGGTCAGAGGTCACTCGTCATGCATTAGGTCAGAGGTCACTCGTCATGCGTCGAGTCAGAGGTCACTCGTCATGCGTTAGGTCAAAGGTCACTCGACATATGTTGGGTCAGAGGTCACTCGTGGACGGATGGATTTAATGGATGGAAGGGTTACATCTGACTCGTCATGAATAGGGTCAGAGGTCACTCGTCATGCGTTAGGTGACGAGTGACCATGCATCACTCATCATGCGAAGGGTCAGAGGTCACTCGTCATGCATTGGGTCAGAGGTCACTCGTCATGCGTTGGGTCAGAGGTCACTCGTGGATAGATGGATTTAATGAATGGATTACACCTGACTCGTCAAGTGTTGGGTCAGAGGTCACTCGTCATGCATTAGGTCAGAGGTCACTCGTCATGCGTCGAGTCAGAGGTCACTCGTCATGCGTTAGGTCAAAGGTCACTCGACATATGTTGGGTCAGAGGTCACTCGTGGACGGATGGATTTAATGGATGGAGGGGTTACATCTGACTCGTCATGAATAGGGTCAGAGGTCACTCGTCATGCGTTAGGTGACGAGTGACCATGCATCACTCATCATGCGAAGGGTCAGAGGTCACTCGTCATGTGTTGGGTCAGAGGTCACTCGTATATAGATGGATTTAATGAATGGATTACACCTGACTCGTCAAGTGTTGGGTCAGAGGTCACTCGTCATGCATTAGGTCAGAGGTCACTCGTCATGCGTCGAGTCAGAGGTCACTCGTCATGCATTAGGTCAAAGGTCACTCAACATATGTTGGGTCAGAGGTCACTCGTGGATGGATGGATTTAATGGATGGATGAATTACACCTGACTCGTCATGTGTAGGGTCAGAGGTCACTCGTCATGCGTTAGGTGACGAGTGACCATGCATCACTCATCATGCGAAGGGTCAGAGGTCACTCGTCATGCGTTGGGTCAGAGGTCACTCGTCATGCGTTGGGTCAGAGGTCACTCGTGGATAGATGGATTTAATGAATGGATTACACCTGACTCGTCAAGTGTTGGGTCAGAGGTCACTCGTCATGCATTAGGTCAGAGGTCACTCGTCATGCGTCGAGTCAGAGGTCACTCGTCATGCGTTAGGTCAAAGGTCACTCGACATATGTTGGGTCAGAGGTCACTCGTGGACGGATGGATTTAATGGATGGAGGGGTTACATCTGACTCGTCATGAATAGGGTCAGAGGTCACTCGTCATGCGTTAGGTGACGAGTGACCATGCATCACTCATCATGCGAAGGGTCAGAGGTCACTCGTCATGCATTGGGTCAGAGGTCACTCGTCATGCGTTGGGTCAGAGGTCACTCGTGGATAGATGGATTTAATGAATGGATTACACCTGACTCGTCAAGTGTTGGGTCAGAGGTCACTCGTCATGCATTAGGTCAGAGGTCACTCGTCATGCGTCGAGTCAGAGGTCACTCGTCATGCGTTAGGTCAAAGGTCACTCGACATGTTGGGTCAGAGGTCACTCGTGGACGGATGGATTTAATGGATGGAGGGGTTACATCTGACTCGTCATGAATAGGGTCAGAGGTCACTCGTCAAGCATCGGGTCAGAGGTCACTCTTCCGCCGGAACTAGACTCGTCTAAGGCCGTTACCTGAAGCCAGTGATTATGGTTTATAAAGTTTTAAATATGGATATTTTTCTTACAAAAACGCATTGCTTTGCTTCAGAAGGCCTTCATTAACGCATGGAGTCATGCTGATCACTGTCATGATGGATAGATGCGCTTTTTGGGGCTTCAAAATCGAAGGCACCATTCACTCCCATTATAAAGCTTGAAAGAGCCAGGATATCTTTTAATATAACTCTAATCATGTTTGACTGAAAGAAGAAACTTATATACACCTAGGATGACTTGAGGGAGAGTGAATTATGGGATAATTTTATGTTTTTGGTTGAACTAACCCTTTAAATGGGACTTAAATTATAATAATTTTAAATGGTTTAAACCCTTATTATCATCAGCTGACGAGTCATAATCCTTGTCCATCTTGGTACTTTAGTTAAATTATATTAATTTTAAAGCTTCAGTTTTCTCATTCGGTCATAGAATCATTTCTTAACTAGAATTTTCTCCTGCCCTTCCAGCCAAGATAACATTTTGTATGTTAGCCATCAGTGTTATACCGGGTTAGGTGTTTTCTTGACTCAAATGCTTCAAATTCATTAGCATCCTCCCAAGACCTTCAAAAATCTGTTTGAAATTTTCTCACACTTTTTTTGTCAGGCAGAGAGAGACCTTTACGGCACTCTGTTGAGAATGAATAAATTCCCAAAGTATACATTACTTTTTATGCGTACCCTAGGATTGTTCTAACTGTATAAATACACGTGGATTCAATTATTATTTTTTTGCCAGTAATTTGTTCGTCCACAAGGTGGCAACAGTGCTTCTGGGCCGGTGATTCACAACTAGTCAAAGAAAAAACTGGAATAAACAGATCAGAGAGAAACAAATGCAAGCTATAACAATGGATGGCTATGGATGAGAGATTTGCAAGGAGATTATTCGAAAGTTCCCGCATTTGTACAACTATAGCCTACAAGCCTATAAAGATTATAAAAGTGTGTATATGGGTTATGAGACGAAACATTCTGTCCACAGAGTACCGTAATGTCCACGTAATGTCCACCTGTGTGCGCCTAGACGTCAAATTGAGTACAGTTTGAAAGGCCATATACTTTACTTTGGGCTTTACATCAAAACAGCACACACACACACACACACAACTGAGAGGCTGATGAAGTGGTCTGAAAATGCTACAGTAAAAGACTGAAAAGAGAAACAGAAAAAGCCTGACACCATCTTTTCTCTGCCGGTCTCATCTTTCCCCCCCGGAGAAAAAGATCTCCTTCCTGTTTCCATGACACACTTCCCAAACTCTCTCTGAGTCTAAACACATCAGAAGCTTGCTTTAAGACGGAAAATAAACCAAGATTTCCAACACTGATGACCATTTTTCATTCAAGCAACATAAAGCATGTTCACTGGCTATGCTAACACACTACTCTTTTAACTTCTGCATTGTGCAGTCTGTAAACGACGACTGTACACATACCGAGACGATGACATACTGCTACTACTGCTGCCAAAAGATGCAGTGAACACACAGCACATAATACTATATCCCACAATGCAATGCCCTCAACTTGACCTCCTTCTTCCAGTGTGATACATGAACCAGAAGTGATTTTGTGCAAAGATCTTTTTCTTGATGCATTATTTAATCAGACTGTCGAAGTTCACTCTGTAAAGCCTGACATATACTTACAAATAATAGCCAGAAACTTATTGAACTGTTAAGTGAAACTTTAGACACATTTTCATATAAAATAAATCTGTAAAAATGTCACAGCAAAAAGACATGTGAACCACGAGCTGAAAGTGGAAGTTTTTACAATTATACCAGACTAGAGAGATAGACATCTCATCTCTTCTCTGATAATGAGGGCGGGGCAAGCTGTCACTCACATGAGATCAGCCAATAGCATACCACAACCATCCAATCAAGTCCCTACAGACAAAATCAAGCCCCGCCCACATTTGTTCTTGTTTGAGAAGCCGTCGACACAATAGGGAAGACAAGACGATAGCAAATTGTTTTATGTCGACTTTAATGACACGTATCACGTATCATGACTGCAATGTTGTATTGACCAGTCAGCATTCATGTTTTATCGTTGTTTTATAGAGTTTTATAGTTAAAACAAAACAATTCAAATGAAGCAGAGAGAGGTGGATCAGTTTGTTTTTTTTAATGCCAAGTTCATAGGTTCACCATTGATGTATAGCTAGCCTTTATCAAGTGTGTGTATCCGTATGAACGGCACACACTCCCTGTGTGTCGTGCAAAATGGAGTCTGGGAGATACCGAGGGATCAACTTCAGAAGATTACAACAGAGACATTCTCACACACACACACACGCAAAACTGCAAACAAATGCCACAGAACGTGCCAGAGAAAAGACTCAGAGAGCCAAGAGACATAAACATATCTTTATGTAGTCAAATGTGTGTCGATTAATCCTATCACTATGAGTAAAGATAGTTTCTCATCAGTGTGTGTGTGTGTTTAAACTAGTCAAGCGTTACCTAACCAGCATCAACAAAGGGACAGTTTGGCCCCGTCCACACTACTGCGTTTTCGTTTAGAAACGGAGACCGTTTGCACCTCCTGTCCAGACTAAAACGGAAAAAAACGAAGACCTAAAACGGAGAAGTTTAGAAACGCTGCAGCTCCGTTTTACGTTTTGAATCTCCGGAGGGCGTTTTAGTGAAGGCTCTATGATTGGGTGTCATCAGTCATGACGTGTCCTTCCCTGATTCGTCAGCCACCCATCACATGACCCGTCCCTGTTCCCAAATCTAAGGAATAGTCAATCCGTTTCCTGTTTACACTGGCACACGCATGCCCAGTGTTGGTGAATGGTCACGTGAACCGCGTTTTCAGTCATTTTAATGTGGACGGAGATCAATTCTAATACTTAGATAAAACGCTGGTGTGGACGGAGATCACATTCGTTTTCATTCTTAGTCTTTAAACGAAAACGCAGTAGTGTGGACGGGGCCGTTATGATGCTGGTTTCACTATGTAACTTTTTCAACCTTTATAATATTTTTCCCAAACCCTGGAGATGGTACATCGACTTACAATAGGTTGAGCGAGTGCAAATAAGGTGTGGCCCTTGAACTGTATGTGCCGTGTGCCTCGAACCCCCCTTTTACTGTCTATGCGAACACCCCATGTATGTTGACAGGTATGGCAGCTCGCGCCAGCTCGAGACGTGAAAGTATACTGATTACTGAGTTTGGTGGGGGCTACATTCTTGCAGTTAAATAATACGTGATTACGCGGACAAAATAATCGGTCGTCTGCAGGCTGATAGTTATGTTTGTTATTTATTTTTCTGGTGAAAGTGTCTTGCCTCAGGCTATAATGCAAAAATCGATTTTTCTAATTTGCAGATTCATCTATGGTAGCTTGATAGTATAATATTGACGACATGGCTATTATCTACCAACAAACATTGAATTGAATTAGCATATCCATTATGTAAAACAGTAGCCAATAGGCTAACATTACTATAACAACACTGATGTGTAAACGTGAGCTACGCGATCTTTTGACGTTTGAAAAAAATAAAGCCCATGAAACTATATTCATATGACATGCTGAAATATATGCCAATGTACCTGGGATGAAGACATTTCACACGCAATGCTGGAGTCTGCCCAAGATGTGAGAACTCCTTCCTTGTGCGCGTGTATTCCCTAGTGTAGCCATGACAGATTTTACGACAGTAGTAGAAGACAATACTGTTTCCCAACTGTAGGGGGACCCCGAGAGCAAAATTTCAAAAGTAACAATTTTGCTTTAATTTATGCTCCACTAGACTTTGAACATGCAACATTTCTACGGACGCTGAAACGTTGTAGTGTCTTATTAAAAAAACATGAATTCAACATTTACTACTCCATACTTTATGTACTACAATTCACCGCATTTTTTTAGTGCAGCTAAAAGGGCATGGGTTACGTGATATGAATTGGCTGGTTGAAATTCACCAACCTGAACATCGAAATGCAGTGAAATTACGAAATTTCTTGGCATGAGCTTGTGTTTGAATGCGATTGAATGGAAGGAGGGAAGCGCTGCAGTTCAATCATACTGTTTTCAGTTTGATCACAAGCATGGAGACGATCAGGGTGAGGTGATTTCTCAAGACAACACGTCAGCTTCAAGAAACAACATTTCTAAGCAAGAGAGCTGGAATTCACAAAATAAACAAATGACCTCACTAAATACTGCTAAAAGTGAAGCGGCGAAGCAAGTTTGTTCAGACTGTTGCGTGCGATCCAATGGTTCATGTGCTGAGTGGACGTCATGTTCATAAGGTATTTCTGTGGTAATATCCTACCTTGGCCATCTGAGCTTGAACCCCACTGGCCTTGAGCGCCGTCACGGCCTTCTGCGCTGCTGGAGGACTGTCGAAATCCACAAAGCCATACCCTACATACATACATACAAAAGTAAGATATTTATGTCGGATGCACAGGCTACATGTCATCGCCAATGAAACATGAAGAAGTGAGGTGTGATTGGCACTCACCTTTGCATTTGTTGGTAGTTTTGTCAAGAATAGCTTTGGTGGAAACAATCTTTCCATACCTAAAAATATCAAGACAGATACTGTGTCAAATGTGACTCAGCACCACAAATATACATATATAATTTTGTTTTTACTGTATTTTTCGTCAAATAGGCCTTTATCAAACTTCCATGTTTGAAGTGGAGGCTTCAAATATTAGTGTAAACAACTTAAGCACAGGATTGTTGTGATTTGTCACCAAAAATATTTTACATTTGCAATGAAAACTACAGTTTTCTTCCCTTAGTTGTATCTCGCTTTGAACAGCATTCGCAATAAAGACGGTAGTGTCATAGTGTACACAAATACAGAAAAACAACAATTAATGTGACGTGACTCATTTGTGCAGCATTTATTCATGTGAGGATGGCCGAGCTCACACACTCCGGTCCTGTGTGAAAGATCTCTGTGCTGTCATAGGCCTCAATGCTGTTGTATTGTGGACGGGTTGAGACGTCGCCCTGAGGACAAAAACAATTTGTTCTCGGATGTTCTCCACCACACCTGTCTGTCTATCTGTTTGACTGTCTGTATATATGTCTGTTCATCTATCTGCCTGTCTGTCTATCTGTCTGTTTGACTGTCTGTGTGTTTGTTTGACTGTCTGTTTAACTGTCTGTCTGTTTGTCTGTCTGTCTGTTTGACTGTCTGTTTGTTTGATTAACTGTGTCTGTTTGTCTGTCTGTTTGTTTGATTAACTGTGTCTGTCTGTTTGTTTTTTGACTGTCTGTCTGCATGTCTGTCTATATGTCTGTTTGTCTGTCTGTATGTCTGTCTGTCTGTCTGTTTGTTTGACTGTCTGTTTGTTTGATTAACTGTCTGTCTGTCTGTCTGTCTGATTTTTTTTTGACCGTCTGTCTGCATGTCTGTCTATATGTCTGTTTGTTTGACTGTCTGTGTGTTTGTTTGCTTGACTGTTTGTTTGTTTGTTTGTCTGTCTGTCTGTCTGTTTGTTTGTCTGTCTGTTTGACTGACTGTCTGTCTGATTGTCTGTCTGTTTGACTGTCTGTCCGTTTGTCTATCTGTTTGTCTGTCTGTTTGACTGTCTGTTTGTTTGTCTGTCTGATTGACTGACTGTCTGTCTGTTTGTTTGACTGTCTGTCTGTATGTTTGTCTGTTTGTCTGTCTGTTTGACTGACTGTCTGTCTGTTTGATTGTATGTCTCTTTGACTGTCTGTCTGTCTGTCTGTTTGTTTAACTGTCTGTCTGTCTGTCTGTTTGTTTGACTGTCTGTGTTTTTGTTTGTTTGTTTGACTGTCTATCTGTCTGTTTGACTGTTTGTCTGCTGTCTGTCTGTTTGTTTGTCTATCTGTTTGTTTGACTGTTTGTCTGTCTGTCTGTTTATTTAACTGTCTGTCTGTTTGTCTGTCTGTCTGTTTAACTGTCTATTTGTTTGTCTATCTGTTTGTTTGACTGTTTGTCTGTCTGTCTGTTTATTTAACTGTTTGTCTGTCTGTCTGTTTGTTTAACTGTCTATTTGTTTGTCTATCTGTTTGTTTGTCTGTCTGCCTGTTTGTTTAACTGTCTGTCTGATTGTCTGTTTTTTGACTGTCTATCTGTCTGTCTGTATGTCTGTCTGTCTGTCTGATTGTCTGTCTGTCTGATTGTCTGTCTGTCTGATTGTCTGTCTGTCTGTTTGACTGTCTGTTTGCTTGTTTGACTGTCTGATTGTTTGTCTGTTTGTCAGGTCTGTCTGTCTGTCTGTCTGTCTGTCTGTCTTTTTCGTCCGTCTGCCCCACATAAGTAAGCAATACGGTACGAGAGGCTGTGCTGTATCGTGAATAAGTCACGGCTGAAGGGCGTTGCTAGGCATTACGGAGTGTGTGAATATTATACACAAAAAACATGATATATTATCAGGACATAAATAATGTATTAGATTAAGTGCACGCATGTTTCTCTCTCATTAGTCGTGAGCTTCAGTGAGAACAGACGATTGATGTAACCTGACTCCAGTCCTGTCTCCTGCTTCAGCTCTCTCTCTCTCACACACACACACACACGCGCACACACACACACACACACACGCACTAATGTTGGTGAGTAATACTTTACCACTCATGCTTATGCCCATGTATTACACATACATTTAAATATTTATGTAATTTACACTACCACTATAACAGAATTTAAGCTCATCAATATCTTAAAAGAATTTTGATAAAAAACAAAACAAATATGCATAGATAAACAAACTGTGCCAATAATTGAATTTAAATGGATTGGTTGGAGCAGATCGTAAAAACAGCATACAGTATATGAGAAATATTTTTCCAAAGTACTGTCCAAACTGGTAGTGAAAATAAACAAATGAATAAAAAAATAATAATTCAATCTCATATAAAATGCAATTTAATTAAAAACATAATTAAATTAAAAAAATATATAATTCAAAAATTAATTTAAAATGTAATTTAATTTAAAAGGTCATTTAATAATTTATTTTGTTTTATTTTATTTAAGCAGATAGTGAAAGAAAAACAGCCTGTGTGAGTCCAGCATATATGGGAAATCTTTTTTCCCAAAAGTGTCCAAACTGGTTGTAAATAATAAATAAATAAAATACACATTAAAAAATATACAAAAACAAAGTAGAAAAACGAAGCATAATGTCTTTAACTTATTAGTAATAATTGATAAATCGTTGGTCATAATCTCCTAATGCTCTAATGCATCAGATACCTCTCAGCGCCTCTGGCAATACGCACAGACATTCCTGTCTGTCTCCGACTCTTTTCCGATCACATGTGGGAAGTCTGTCGTTCGGCCAGTTGGCACAGTCAAGTGTTGTTGGCAAAGCCAGTCTGGAATGACTAAACGAACCATTACTCTACATTGAGTACAAGCGTTATTAACACACCGTTTGGCGGCTTCAACTGCGACCTCGTCTATCAGGAGTTACTAAGCTAATACGGTTCATTTACAAAAAGCTTTGGATTTCAAAGTAGCCAATGACACGCTCCTGGAACTAACAGTATTTTGACCACTAATTTGTTGATTATTTCTTTCTCAGATATTAAACATCTTGATAAATGCTCTCTTTCAATGTAGAAATTGAAGTCCATGTAATGTATGTTATACATTATCTTGTAATATTTTTGCACAACACTGCTCATCAGAAGTTAAAAGAGGAGACAATTACAGTACATTTTAAAGCATCCGTGTGAAAACAAACCTGGAAAGAGACATGATGATTTGAGGAGAAAAACAAGAGATTCTCAATGCATTCCAGGGAATTATTTGGATATATTGTAAATCACATCAGGAGAACAGACCACAGTATATGTTAATAATCAGGGGGAAAAGAATGCGAGAATGTCTCTTTGGTTGTTTACGCAACAGATATTCTTGTGATAGTCAAACCCTGATGAAATACCAAGCGTTTCGTCTGAAATTTGACAGCTCGTTCAGTCAAACTGTGAGATAAGGATTATTTGTAGCACAACCTTAAGATCTGAAATGATTTGTTTCAGTCTTTTTGAGTGGAACTTCCCCAAACCGGAAACGCCTCCCATAATCTAAAACGCAGTCGCTCGTCAGGAAAGAGGAGGATAAAGTTCGAAGCAGCAAATCAGTGTAAATAACCAAAGATAACAAATCAGAAATTTGCCAGTGTGAACTGATAACACACTGTGTACGGGTTTGGAAATACATTAGGGTGAGACATTATTTTCAACTTTGGCTGAACTGTTTATGTAATAAAAATAGCTATTATGCAAGCTATAAAGTTGGAAAATCTGCCAAAATAAATTGGATAAAATGCAGTCATCGCCATTGCGGTTCTAGCTCATGACAGTGACATCATTTTCAGAACAAATTATTAAAGTCCCCCTGTGGTGACAATATGCTTTAAGACAAACCATCTGTAAATTCACAAGTCGACATTGCTAAGTATTTTCTCCTTAAAGCTGCAGTAACCCCAAAACAGTCTAAAAAACACGAAATCGCTGGTGTTTCTGACGTCACAAACTAGGGGAGAGCAGGGCACAACGTAACACTTTTTGACTTTGTCAATTTGTGTAAATCTACTTAGGGTTTAGAGAATTTTTTTTCCCCACATTAATTTCCCACATGTCTAGTACAATTATGTGGTTTTGTTTTATTAATACAGTGTACACTTTTTTCTTGATTTACCCTGAAATAATGGAAGTGAAATGTGACAACATGCCCCTATAGGTGGGGTACATTGTAACATGTGAGGGGCACATTGTAACATCACCATTTGACAGCTTAAAATGCTATCTGATCTAATAAAAGTCAAACCAAAATATTTTCTTAACAAAATACAATTCACTTTTTCATATAAAATAATGGCATTTTTTAATAATTAAAAATAAACTAATTTTTGAGTTTGACAACAATCACACCGGAAAACAGCTATACAGCATAGTTCAAAACAAAATAATAATTAATTATTTCTGAACATTGACTCTCACTCTTTACTTACATGTTTCTCTTGTTTTCTCAATAGAATTCATAAAAGTATAGAATATAATTGCATATTTCTAATAGGGGCACATTGTAACGCAGTGTGACAACATGCCCCCACTGCACAACAAGGGGTTTAAACCCTGCTAGTGTCTTCTGCTAGTTGGCAAAGCATTAAAGAACTATCCCAGACAGCAAACTGACATTGAATCAACGTGGAAACGACGTCTCTCATGACATTGAAACAACGTTGATTTTGCTCATCGAATTAACGTTGAACCAACGTCAGACGCGGCATTCTTCAAAGCTAAATGAAAATCGAAAATTGGTTTGCTTTCATAACGTTGAAACAACGCGTTGATTTCAAGTTGATTTTCCGTTAGTTTTGAAAGAATGACGCATCTGACGTTGGTTCAACGTTAATTCGATGAGCAAAACAATGTCAGATCAACGTTGTTTCGATGTCATATTTCCACGTTGATTCAATGTCAGTTTGCTATCTGGGATACCAACTGTTAAAAAACAGATTGGAGATTAAAATAATATCAGATTTGTCTAATTTTAAATAAACACAAAAAAATGGAGATGAAAA